AGTTACAGATGAACATAGTATCTTTATTTTATTTATTTTTTAATGTGGTGCTGAGGATTGAACTCAGCGCCTCATATGTCCTAGGCAAGCACTCTACCACTGAGCCACAATCTTAGCCCCAGTACTCACAATCTTTTAAGTTAGCTATTATGTGTTTCCTTTTTTCAGATGAGACACTATGACTTATTTCACATCTCATAGCCAGCTGTTCAACCCAAGAATGTCAAACTTCAAAGCCATTTTCTTAATCAATTAATTAAGTAGGAATCTTAAGTAATTACTTAGTTTGGTTCTTTTATAAAGGAGAAAATTTTCCCATCCCATATCATATGAACATTACGTATCTTCTTAGTTATGTTCTTCAGTTATCTTTTCAGTTTGTTTTGAGGTTTTTAAACTCAAGGTACTTAAAGCAGAATGTTGTCAACTGCTTCATTAGCAATTAAGTAGCTAAGAGGACCACAAGGTTGCTATACCAACTGATGTTCCACCTTATTCAGGCCCAGAGTGCTGGAGTTGGCCAACTATGGGCTGAACCTCTGAAATAGTGAACTCAAAATAACTTTTCCTCCTCTAAGTTGTTCAAATCAGGTATTTTGGTCACAGGGACAAAAAGCTAACACAATAACAGATAATTTTCTGGTCCTGAGGCACTTAACTCCTGATCCTAATCCATGCTACAATGTAACTGGTCACGCACATATTAATTATGCCAAACAGTTGAGATTTCTCAAGCCAAATCATCCTAACTTGGTCTAAAATTTAACATACTTTTCCAAAAGATGTTACTGTAGCAAAGAACAATAACAAACAGGTGTGGTGGTACACACTTGTAATGCTAGCTACTTGGAAGGCTAAGTAAGACAGCAGAATCACCATAAGTTTGAGGTCAGCATGGACAATTTAGCAAGACATGTCTTAAAATTATAAAAGGCTTTAGCTCAGTGTAGTTCAGTGATAGAGCACTTGTCTAGCATGTACAAAGCCCTGGATTCAATCCTCAGTGCCATAAATAATAAAATCAATCTAAAAATACAAAATATAAGCCTTGAATGAGATAATATGGCTAACATACTCATTCTGAATTGGTAAAGTGAATTTCTTACTTGCATGTAATTTTGAAGATTTCACTAACAAAGAGAAGTATCTGTTTTCTCTTAACAAACATCCCACGGTTCCCAGAATGACAAAATAATAAGAACAAAAGAAACTCATATCACAAAATTTGTTACTAGAGGAAAAAAAAAATGCAGCTGTATGTATGGAACACAAAAAGAAACACACCTGAAGATCTTTGACCACAGACACTTTCCTTTTTTTTTAATAAATTATAAATACTTTATCCATTTATCAAAGTTCATCAAAGAACTTTCAAGAATTGTTTAATCTTCTTCATTCTTCAGGGATTATTCATTCACAGAGCAGACCACCTACAGAAGAGATTTATTTTAGAAAGTCAGATGTCAAACACCACACCAGATCTATGGTTTTAGTGAATTATGACCACTAAAAATGAATGCTTCAGTCAAGTGTTATCAATTAATTGCCACAATTATTCTAAATTAGTCACAGAATAAAATAAAGATCTACATTACAAGATTCTAGTTGAGCCTAACTAAAAACATCACTGAAACTATTCAATTCATAACATCACTTAATCTTTAAAAGCTTTTGTTGAAGTCAAAACAATAACTTTTTCCTCAAAATTATCTTCCAAACAAGGTTAGCATTTTATTTTTATAGATATTCAACATGAGAGATCTACAAACCCCTCTTTTTGCTGATTCAAGAATGTTTGGCAAAGACTCACAAAGTGGAAGGCAGAAGGTTAGCTTAGTACACAAGGCACTTCCTGTGGAAAATTACTTAATCCCAAGGGCAAAATAAGGGCAACTCTTTATAAATTCATTTGGAAAGATCAAAAAGGGAGAGAAGAAGAGGGTAGGGTTACTGAGGAAACAGAGCATTAGGTTTCTCTTCATATAGCTCTCACCCACATCCATTCCCAGTCCCTATCCCAGAAGACAAGAGAACAATTCCAAAAAAGATAATTAAATCAGGCTAGATAACTCTCCAAGTCTAAAGCCTCATCTAATGGGTCCCTTCATTTGGTTTAGATAAGTAGCTTCAATAAGACACAAACTATAAACTCTTTTCTAAAAATCCCAAAGAAAGAATACATTTAAGGAAAAGTTTGAGCAGGAAAGATAACCAAAAGTGAAGCCAACCATGGCACTGTTATCTCCCTGATACTGATTATATATTGGAGGCTTTCCCATAGAATCTCAGTTACATTTCAAGTGTAAAGTCCTGAGAGGAGGGGGCCATCTTTCTCATTTTGAAAATTTTTAGGGTCTTAATAAATACCTATTTTTTAAGAATGTCTGAATGATAGAAATAACTTTTTTCTGTATTATCTTGGAATCATATTTTCATACATAATCAGTTGCTTATTTGTGTGTATGTAAAACTGATGTGTGTAGGTGTGCATATGTGTGAGAGAGACAGACAGACAGACCAACACAGACACACACACACTGCCCTGAAAATGGCATACTTGAAACACCCCAACTATTAAGATCAATTAATAAATACTGAAGATCATCACTACTCAAGTGCTGGTTCTTTAATTTGATTGTAACCTCCAAACTGGGTTCTCCAGGTTTCTTCTGATTTCTTAAGGCAGAAAGATGCTAGCCACCCATTGTCTTACATTTCTACTTAAGTTTAGGGTTTGTCTACTTTTTCTTTTAATTCATATTAAAAAAAAAAAGCAGTCATATAAAATAAAATTGTCTGGAATCACTGTCATCAAACCTATTTTGTCTTAGCAGTTTTCAAGTCTCTGTCTTTGCTACTATTAAATCACAAAAGATAGTTTATATTTAGCATATTACCTATTACTTTTTGTAAACTTAGGTCAATGGGTGTTAAAGAAATCACCTAGGAGTTTCTGAGTCAACAACTGCAGTCCAGGGCCCAGAATTGTGAATTTTGGAAAATGTTTGAGGTTCACATCTGAGTAAAACCACTGACTGAAATCCTATTTTCAAAGAAAATATAATATTACTTACTATTAATCTACTGAAAAGGTACAATTGAGATCTACTTTATTTAGGAACAATATTAAAATCTACAAAGGTTTTTTAATTAAGCAACTTTTATGATCATTCCTGGAAAGATCTAAGTTTGCAAAATATTTTTTCTTTGATACTATTCTCAGAAAAACATAGTTTAATTAGTCGAAGAGAAACCAATTTAATTAATCTCAGAGCAATGCAGATACTACACTGGATTTTACTCTACCAACCAATAGCCCAGTTACCGAGTTGCATGCACCAATGAACTTCAGCAATAGTTTTTTCTAATTAGCATTCATAATGAAGTTTTAAAATTGACAATTAAGATAATGTGAAATCCTAAAAATGAGTATGTTGGCAATAAAATCTTAACTGGTGCAAAGAATGAAATGTAAAGTGCCTATAAATTGGAGAATATTATAAAAGATCTGGACACTAGTTTTAATTCTACCATTATCCACCCTTCACTTGAACAAGTCTTTTCTGACTTCCCCATGCCTCAGTTTCCCCATGGAGGTTGGGGAAATAAAGACACCTGGGACCAAGTGGGATCCAAATATCTGTTCATCTTCCAAAAGTATACTTCATTTTCATTACACTGAAAATGATGAAAGTGTGAATCCCTAGTAAGGTTCCCCATGAATTCAGATTATTCTTCCACTAACCAGGACTCAAAATTACATAATCAGGTCATACATTCAACAGTCCTAAAATGAGTATCTGCTATCCACAACTCCCCAGGTATGAGTTATTCTGTTCTGGTTTCCACTTTATAATTTACAAAGCATACACATACATATATCTCTTACTCACTGCAATAGTTCTATAAGGTAGTTTGGGTATGTATATTTATCTCTGGATGACAGATGGGGAAACTAATGTTTAGAAAGTGAAGAACCACATGATCAATTAAATATTAAGTTTTATTAAGTCCAAAGCTTTTGCATGTTCTTTTATATACAAATGAAGAACATAGCTACTGCTCTTATCTCTGCCCCCAAAACACAAATAAAACTATAATATCTTCCAGTCCTTCTGAATGTATGCTACTTATAATAACTGTACAACCTTTATGGTTCACATGAAGTCAACTTTTTTTTTTAGTTTTTGATAAGACCTTTATTTTATTCATTTATTTATATGTGGTGCTGAGAACGAACGCAGTGCCTCACACACGCAAGGCAAGTGCTCTACCACTGAACCACAAACCAAGCCCAATTTTTTTCCAACTGTCCTTTGTTATAAAGGCAATAGCTTACACAATTGACTAGTAAAAGAGAATATGAACAAGGAAGCCATATACAATGAGATTCTATGTCTTTAAAAGTAGCTAATAGGTATATTTTTTAAGAATACATCTTGCCCTAAATTTATTTATTTTACAAAATGATTTTCTATGGGATTTTTAAAAATAATTGTCTAGTCTAAAAGCCTCTTAAGGTTTACTGTACTATCTATAAACACAAAATATATTATGGCTCAAAGTCAGAGAGGATTAATATTTTGACAAAAGTTCAACACAGTTGAAGCAAAAAACATGTTAACCTAGACCTCAGGAGAGTAAAAATGAAGCCTCAGGGCTTTCAGTATAGACTGTTTTCTACTATACAAACTTTTTAATCAGCTATTGGAAAGTTCCTTATCCCTCCTTTTCATACATCAAAGAGTAAGACTGGCCATATGTGAAATTCCAATGAGGCAACAAAGAGGTGAAAGGGAAAAAAGCCAGGCTCTCTATCACTATTAAGTTGACATGTGGCTCTGGCATTATCTGTCAGCTATCATTATAAAGCTAAAAGCGGCAGTGTGGTGTAGCCGTTAGGGGAGGGGCATAAAGGACAGGGAGTTGGCCTGGGCACCAAGGTTCCAGTTCTGATCCTGCTTAACTACCTCAAGAACCTTCTCATAACTACAAGTCTTAATTTCCTTATTATCCTTTATTAAACACCTCCTATGTGCCAGGCAGTGTTATAGGTGCTGGGAATATGGCAGTGAGTAAAAGAGAAAATTCCTACTTAATTTTCAAGTGATAATATTAAGACAGACTAGCCACTAGCCTCATGTGCCTATTAAATATTTTTAAAGCTAAAAATTTGGTTCCTTAGTCTCTTTGGCCAAAATTCAAGAGCTCAATGGTCACATAAAGCTAGTGGCTAGCATACTTGAGAATGCAGATATAGAACATTTCTGTCATCACAGAAAGTTCCTGTTGGACAGGGATGAGATAGAATGATGGGGAAGGAATGCTAGTTCACTTGAGGTGTTGAGGAAAAGCCTTTCAAATAAAGAGACTTTTAAATAGAGACCTAAATGAAGTGGAGGGGTAAGCAAAGAGCTTCCAAAAAGGAAATCATTTATTTGTAGTATTGTTGAATATTTTATTGAAATATATGTAATCAAAGGTCTTCCAAAAAAAGGTCTAAGGTTTTAGTTTTATTAGAATAAAGCATGTTACAAAAGAAACAGCAACAATTCCATTATCTTTTGCAGAAAGCAATGCTGCCATTTACTAAAGATCCACCTAAGACAAAAGAAATGGATAACATTTTCTGTTTAGTTCATTTAACTAAGAAAATGGAATATTTTGAACTTCCTACAGCCATGAGTTCCTCTAATATAAAAGTTTTTGTGAAACTCTTTCTTGAAAGCTTCAGATTCCCCTTCTCAAATTCACAATATAGCTTTAAATTCATTAGCATCATTTACATTCTATACCAGAAACTGAAAAGTTGTTATTTTTTTAGTGATACTTATGCATTTCTATTAACCAGGTAAACTACCTTTCAAATAGAATGCTGCTCAATGGCTGCTAAATCTGTAAGTTAATACACATATTTGAAGAAATATGCTCACCATTTCATATCTTAAATCCCAGGGCTCTCATGCACTCCTTGTGGGCCTCAATTAGATGTCCACAATGTTCTTCTCCTTTCTCAATGATGCTGTAAAATAAAATGTGCTTGTTATCTGAGAAGTTATTAATCACATGCTAGTTATAAGGCAGAAGATGAGTATGATGAAATGTAGCTGCAATTTTTAAAAAGATGCTATTACACCAAACAGATTTATTTTTATTTGATTTTGTTCCACGATTACAAAGATGTTCCACAGAACTAGTTTTCTGGGGGAATCTAATTAGGAGAAATAATTACAGACATCAAATATCATCATTAGCTCACATCCAAGGAATAACATTACTGTTAAATAAAGAGCAGACTGAACAGTTTACTTTTTCACCTATCATGACAGGGGAATTAAATCTGTTTCTACTCTACATTCAATCACACTTGTTTAATCTTCTAATTGTCAGATACCCAACAACATAAACATAAAAAAAAAATCTGGTAGTTGAGAGCAGCAAAATCCCCCTTTTGATGATGAAAGAGCTTTTCACTGGTAAGATTCACAAAGTAAAGACTAGGACCACAAAGTTTAATTTCTAGGGCCCGAAAATGTAATATTATCACTTCAAGTTAAGCCAAATTCAATGACAAGAAATAACTGACTCATGACTACAGATATTTAAAGAGAAGCCATAGAAGGCTGAGGTGACCCATTTGAAAGGAAAGTTATAGAAGGAAACAGAGTTCTATTTCATCAAAATCCTACTTCCAAATAGCTCCAGGCCTGCTGCAAATGGGAGAGACTTTTTAGGAAAATGAATTTCTTATTAAGTGATCATCATTAGCTTCCTTTTTTTTAATATATATTTATTTTTTAGTTTTCGGCGGACACAACATCTTTGTTGGTATGTGGTGCTGAGGATCGAACTTGGGCCGCACCCATGCAAGGCGAGCGCGCTACCGCTTGAGCCACATCCCCAGCCCTCATCATTAGCTTTCAATGATTATTTGCAAATGTTACATATACTGTGCTTGGCACTTGACCTGACTTGTACTATTAAACCTTACAGTAATCCCAGAGGCAGATACATTAGGCTCAATTTACAGACATATGAAGCAGACATGTTAAAATAATTTGCTCAAGGTCATCAATTGGTGGATCAAGATTCAAACCCTGACTCTGTGTCCCAGACACCTGATCATGAGGCCAAACTATCCAAAGGTTCCACTGGATCACTTTCAGCATCAGTATATAATCTTTCAATTCTCCATTTAGAGTATTATTTGCAAAGTAGTAGTATTAATCAAAGCAGAGCTCCTGCACTCTTATTATCAATTACGATTATAGCAGTATGTGAATTTTGTCAATTATGATTTCTCTTCTTTTCACATCTACTATCCTTCAACTTTCTGAAGTCAAAAGGGACTACTACTAGGAGGAGGTTCATATTGGCCGTATCTGTGGACTCTTAATGATATCTATTCTACCAGAGGCTATATGAAGTGTAATGGGGGGGGGGGTGAATTGATAACCTAGATTAACTATTCTGAATACTATAATGTCACCTACGTTGTAAACTGGCTTTTCAATTTTTGCTTGCTTAAAGGGAGAACTCATCAGAACTGTAAGGAATGTACCCTTTGTCCTGCTCTTTACATTTTGTAAGAAATACTTGGAAATTACCAGAAACTTTACTCTTCGTTCCTGTCAAATCTACTATAGCCGTTAGCGGGTGGTACAGCTATCACTGACATGTGTCTCCGTATGTTTTTAAAGTCCTCTAAATGATGTAGCATCTTTAGGAATTTCCACATCTCCGGACCTTAACGCAGTGCTTAACATGGAAGATGCTCAAAAATAATTTATAGAAAGGAATGTACGGGTGACGCGAGCCTCGGACCAATTTGACCTCTCTCCTCTCCCAGGACAGAACTGCGGGCTCGGTAAAGAGAGTAAACCGCGAAACCTACGGGGCCCTCTAACTCTCCAGGGAGGGCACAGGGCACAGGGCAGAGGGCTTCGGTGGCGGAAGGTGCCGGCCACGCGCCGACGCCCCCTCCCCGGCTGCGCACTGACCACGCATCGCGCGCCTTCTTGGTCTCCGGGCAGGCGCAGCAGGGTTTCAGCGGCTTCTTCTCCTGAGACTCAGACGGGGCTGGGCTCGCGGCCGCCAGACTTGGCATCTTTAAAGCTGAAAGCAGCTACAGGCGTAGACAGGCTTAACTCTCCGGCCGTTTCCGATTCGTTCGCAGTCACTTCCGCAGTCGCTCTAAAACGTACAGGAAGTCCTACCTCTCTCGGGGGGTGCGGTAACAGGAGCGCGCCTGCGCAGGAGTGGCGAGATTAGGGCTTCTGCGAGGCGCGCCGGTCTAGCGCCTGCGCAGAGAGATTTGTGTGAAGGTCAAGGATAGTGTAGGTCGGCGTGGGTAGGACTCTCAGAGGCCCATGACGCGCGATCTCCCAACCTTTTTATTCCCCAAGAGTGTCTGCACTGAAGCTCAGGACAGTGAAATGACTTGTCTCAGCTAAACAAAAGAAACCACTAGTAAAAGCCAGTTCCCCTGAGTAACAGACTTCTTTCCCATATTCCTTGCCTGGGCATTCTCTGTCTTACTGAAGTGCCCGCCCTGCTTTGTATTGTTTTTCATTGACCTACATAAAAATGAGTAGAAGGACATTTGAACAATCCAGTCCACTACTCTTGAGGAAAACACTAAGTCTTCAACTAATTTGTGTTTAGAGCCCCCCTCCAGGTGATTTCAGTTTGAATCAGTCATGTTTATTAGTATACAGATTAGTAAAACTTTCCTTGGCAATTCTTGAATTGTAGTTTTAAAGTAAACTAGTATCATATTATCTGCAAAAAAAAAAAAAAAAGAACAGAATTATTGGAAAAAGGGAATTAATTCACATTTTAAAGGAGGACATCAAGGCACTAAGAGCTGCTTCTTGATATATTTTTGGGGTAATCAAACTTATTATCTAACCAAAGTTTGTTTCTGTATTTCAGAGACTTAGTTCAAAGAATCTATAAGATGTGTCTGCAAGCTGGTGCTATAAAAATGTAATTCTGCAGATGTACTCTCCAAATTATTAAAATTATCCCAATTTGTCATTTTTAATAAGTATAAATAAATATAAATAAATAAACTGTCCTACTTAATTTGTCAAATTATTAAACTTTTAATGAGTATGGTTTTTATTTCATAGTGAATTTATGTGTTTAGTAGAACAACATATTATCCTAATATTCTCCTAACTTCACTTTCGTCCACAATCATCAATTCTTTGAATTAGGCATTCACATGATTTAGAATCTTACTACTCAAATAGTGTTTCTTGGACTAGCAATATCAGTATCACTTGGAATGTGGCTCCACAAATCAATGGGGAAAAGAAAATAGGCTAACCATTTGGAGAAAATTAAACACTACATCAAAAGGAAGGGCTCCAAACTGGATGCAGTGGCACACACCTATAATCCCAGCGTCTCAGGAGACTGAGGCAGAAGGATCAGGAATTCAAAGCCAGCCTCAGAAAAATCGAGGCTCTAAGTAACTCAGTGAGATCCTGCCTCTAAATAAAATACAAAAAAAAAATAGGGTTGAGGATGTGGTTAAGTGTCCCTGAGTTGAATTCCTGGTACCAAAAAGGGGGGACCAGAGCTGGGGGAGCTCCAAAGACACTAAAGGCCTACACTGTGAAAGGTTAAACTAAGAAGTTGACATAGATTGTGGAAAAGCATATAACAATCCCAAGGTATGGGGAACAACTTTACAGTTTCAAAAGCACAAATTGTAAATAAAAATATCAGTGAAGTTAATTACACCAAAATAAAGGCTTAAAGCTTTATATAGGACACTGCAGACAAAGTTAACAAATAGATGACATATTAGGAGAAAATACTTGAACTACTAAATATTTTTAAATATTTTAAAAATTTAAAATTTTTAAAAAGTTGAGTTAGAAGCCAGGCACAGCGGCTCATACCTACAATCCCAGCAGCTGGGGAGGCTGAGATGGGAGGATTGCAAGTTCAGATGCCAGCCTCAGCAAAAGCGAGGTGCTAAGCAACTCAGTGAGACCCTGTCTCTAAATACAACACAAAATAGGGCTGGAGATGTGGCTCAGTGGTGGAGTGCCCCTAAATGCAATCCCTGGTACCCCCCTGGCCAAACAAAAAAGCTGAGTTAGAATGCAACTAGTTGAAGCAACATAATCTTCAGCCATAATTGCTTCCTTAAATAGAGATTTTGAGTATGTGAATCATCATTTGTGGCATAGTATATGATCTATTTTAGAGAAGGATCCATGTGCTTCTTCGAAGAAAGTGTATTCTCTCATTGAAGGATGAAATATTCTATATATGTCAGTTAAGTCTAAGTTATTGATTGTATTATCAAGTTCTTTAGTTTCTTTGTTCAGCTTTTGTTTGGAAGTTCTATCTAGTGATAAAAGAGGTGTGTTAAAGTCCCGCAAAGTTGTGTTGTGGTCTATTTGATTTAATCTTTACAGCCATATAATTTACAATTATGTATGAGAACAAATCAGGGTTCAGAAATGTACATGATTCACTCAAGGTCACATAGCTTTTAAGTGACAATCCTAAGGTTCAATATCTTCTCCTTGTATTCTATTTACTATCCTACTTAATTTGTCTAAATGCAAATGAATGTTTCTTATTTTAAAATTAATCACTGAACTGTATTTATTTGTGCTACTGAATTTTTTTAATAAATGAAGGAGGAAGGAAAATGAGAGATATCTAAAAGAATTTAAGGGATTAAGAGAACTGAGACAAGTTGTTAACTGAATAGTTTTTATTAGAAATTATTAGAGATTAAATTAAGAGTTCTAGAAGGCAAATGGAGACCAAATAGTAAAAGGTCAACCATTTGTTTCACAAAGGATATCCTGAAGTTAGTTTATTAGTATTGCTTCTCAGTTCTGGTTTTAACCAGCAATACTTTACTCTTTCAAATCTTTAGAACTCTTTGCTATTTCTATAATTGCTGAATTAGCAAGCAACAAGCTTGAAATAGTCACTTGAGTGGACTTTTTCATAGCACAGTGAATATGTTTATTGTATGGGATTGAATGGGGCTATGAGCCACAGATAGTACCAAACAGCCATTCTGTGGATGGGAAGACAGCCCTGGTAATATAACAAGCAAGAATGAAGGAAATGCTTTATAAATTGTTACAATCTATAGGAATTTAACCATTTTTTAACACCTAACCAAACGCAGGTGTGCTGAATTTACTGAGGGTAGATTCTTATGGAGAGTGGAGAAGGAGTGACACCATATGTTGAGAGAGAAGAACTACAAGGTTTAAATTATCATTTGCCTAGTATTTACATATCTGCCTTTGTTGTTGTTGTTGTTGTTGTTGCCTAGTATTTACATATCTGCCTTTGTGTGGGGGGGGAAGCTTTCCGATTTCCACAAGTAAATACATGCTGCTTCTAACATTCTCTATAGCTTTTCAAGTGCCTGAAACTCTGAAATTTTACTTGTCTGCTGCTTTCATGAATGCTAGTAGAAAACATCAAACTACTGGGTCATAGATAAAGAAAAATTTATTACTTACAGCAATAGCAGAAAAGTATCAGCACTTTTGTGCCAGTTCCCTGAGCCCTCATCCTAACAGGGTGATGTGAAAAAGGCCAAATAACTGGACTTGGTGATGTGTGCCTATAATTCCAGTGACTTGGGAGGCTGAGGCAGGAGGATTTCAAATTTAAGGCCAATCTCAGTAACTTGGTGAGGCCCTAAACAACTTATCAAGACCTTGTCTCAAAATAAAAAGATAAAAAGAGGTGGGGATGTAGCTCAGTGGTAAAGTACCCCTGCCTGAAATCCCCAGTACTCCCACTTCCTGCAAAAGAAAAAAGAAAAACACCAAATAATATCTGCATGTAAATTAGGTTGCATACAGGAACACTTAGGTAACCCAAATCTTTAACAATGGGCAGTACAGATGTCTGCTTTATCTCTTATCTTCCATGGTTATTTCCTGCACAAAGAAACAAAGGCAGACCCTTGCCTCCTGCCTCACAAGGCAGAAGGTTCTTGTTCAGAACACCCATGGAAAACCAGCATGACCAAGTATAACTTCAAAACCAAAGTTTCTTTTAAATAAGTAGACTAAATGACATAGAACCTAATTTCAAGACGATCATGTATTAGTCATTTACGGTTGTTACTACAGACAATGTTTATGGCCCCCTAAAATTCATATATGAAGCCCAGATCCCCAGTGAGATGATATTTTGAGGTGAGGAATTTGGGAGGTAATTAGGTCATAAGAATGGAATTCACACTAAAGAATTAGTACACAAAAAGGACAAGACCCGAGGTACCCCTACCTCCATAACTCTGCCATATGACACCAAAGCAAGAAGGTAGCCAAATGCAAGCCTGAAAGAGAACTAGATCCCTCACTAGGAACAGAATTGATCAGCACCTTGATTTTAGACTTCCTAGACTCCAGAACTGTGAGAAACAAGAATCAGTTGTTGTTTAAGCCATCCATCTATGGCATTTTGTTATAACAACCCAAGAAGACTAAGACAGCCATGTAACATTGTTACCACAAACTTAGTGGTAATACACATTTATCATCTCACATTTTCTGTAGGTCCAGAGTCTGGCTTTAGCTTAAGTGGCTCCTCTGATTAAGGTCTTAGAAGATTTCAATCAAGACTATTGGAGGATGTAGTTTCATCTGAGTAAAAATATGCTTTGAGTCTCATTCAGCTTGTTGTCAGAATTAATTTTCTTGTTATTGTAGGACCAAGGGCTTTGGCTTTTTGATTGCTATCAGTTGGAGGTCATTCAGCACTTAAAGGTCACCTGTATAGTTGCCCAACATGTTTACTTACTTCCTCAAAGCCAGCAAGGGAGAGAAAGAGTAACTCAGCAAAATGGGTATTATAGTCTTTGTGAGAGAATCACATAAGAACATATAGTCCATCACATCTGGCATAGTCTGTTGGTTAAAATCAGTCACAATACTCAAGGAATGAGTATCACATCAGAGCCTGAACAGGGCTATCTTAAGAGCTTGTCCACTACAGGTTGATATGTAGAGATAAACCCAAAACAGACTATATGGAACTTATCTACAAATGAAGAGAAGTTGGTGAACTATACAAAAATCAAATGCCTGTCTTTTTGCCTTTGATTCCTGGTTGGAGAGAATTTCCTCATTTCCATACCTGTGAGTCCACAAACCAAAATTCAGAACAAATTCCAATAAAACACCATAACACTAACCAAAATCAAATGCTACTTAAAAAAAAAAACAAATTATAAATTAAAAATTTCTCCTAGCGATTCAGTTTAAACTGGAATTATTGTCTTTAGATACCACTTGTTTATTCTTTCTGATTGAACCATGTTTTCTGAAATTACTACTGTAAGATATGTATCTTGAATATGTATGTAAATATATGGATTATAACTTTACCATCATTTCTGTTCTGTAGCCAGCTCTACATTTGTCCCTTGAATGCTCACAGACTTTAAGATGAATATCAAGTATTGGCCCTTGGTAACAGGATACTGATGATGTGCAAAGACAGAATTGGAGGAACTAGAGAGATAGTTGGATTTAGGAAAGAATGGTATCCAACATTTATTAGGCACTTACTATCTACCATATTCTGTTCTAAATCCTTTGTAGGTATTATCTACTATAATCTTCCCTGGTATTTTTGCTATGTATCCCCGTTTCAGTGAAAAGGAAACTGATGTACATGGATATTATGTGATTGCCAAGGTCATATGAACAGTATGTTTCAGAACCGTGATTCAACCTAGGAAGTTGAATTCAAACACTCACGCAGTTCACAACTGTACCAGAGTCTCTGCAGTATAAGGAAATTTTACAATTTTATGCCAATGTCTTGGCTGGGCACAAGATCAGGAGGCACCACAACTTTGTAGATTCAAACAGCAATTCTTTATTCCCGAAATCACACCGGCCTCTGCAAACACGTTCTGGGGAAATCCAAGTTCTCCCGCACAATTCACATCCCAAAACTTTCTCTCCGGGAGAACTCAGCGGGCACTCAGGCAGCAGGCACGCCCTACTCCCAGCAGGAATAACCTTCAATCTGCAACTTCCCTAAATCCGGATTATCTTAAACCGGGAATGCCTTAAATTTGTCTTAAACTGGGAACACCCTAAACCCAAATTATCTTAAACCCAGATACTTCCTAAAACCTGCAGGATACACCCTAATCCTGGATCCACCCTGGTCCTTGAGCAGGGTCACCTTTCTCAAAGACACATGCAATGTCCAAGGCAAGTCCATTTAACATGGGGTACGCTGGCAAGGAAATTTCGATGCGTCATTCCTACTTGGCAATGGCCCTCAGCAATTTTACTCAGGAAAAATTGAGCTTGGCTAATTGACACTTGGTCATTTGAGATGAAATTTCCTAAAGATTGTGGAGGTATGAAATTGGCAGTGGGGTAGAAATAAGGAACAATGTTGGCAGGCAGATAACTAGATGAACAGTCAAGTAGACCAATCATTCAAATGGTTTCTTTATTCAGCACCTGCTTTATGCCAGGTGCTGACCTAAAAACTATGGATGGCTCATTGTGAACAGGACATTTGAAATGTCTGATCCTACAGGACTGACATTCTAGTGGGAAGAGATAAATAAGTAAATTTCAGGGCTATAAAAAATCAAGATAATATAATAATGTCTTCAGATATGTTTGTGGAGGGGCTGGCTGTTGTCTACTTCTGACAATTTATCAGATCAGTGACAAAAAGTATCCCTGAGGAGATGGCATTTTAGCTAACCTGCAATGATGAGGAATCTGCCATGAGAAGATGGCAGAGAGGGGCAGGCAGGAATGAGGAGCATTCTGAGAAAAAGGAGCAGCAAGTAGGAGTCCCTGAGAAATGTATACCCAAAGACAGAAAAATGTATGCCTTTATACAATTGTATTTTCTTTGTTTCTATATCTCCTTTCTCCACTATTCAGTGAACTGTACAAATTATCTCAGAATCTTCAACACCGTATTATTTAGTAGACACACAATGTGAATTTGTTCAATACATTGATGGATTTATTCATTTAGCAATCATTTTATTAAGCCTTCATTCATGTACCAAGTACTTCAGAGATACAAAGATGACCATGTGAAAGCCTGAGTCCTCAATGAATTCAAATATGTAGGGAGCAGAGTTGGAAATAATTAAAATTCAAAATGGTCAATACTATTGGTGCTAGAATAGCATTAGAAAAAAGAATGAGCTGGATGCAACAACACATACATATAGTTACTAGCAACTTGGGAAGCTGAGGCAGGAAGATTACAAGTTTGAGTCTAGCCAATGAAACTTAGCAAAGATGCTGTCTCAAAATAAAGTAGAAAGGGTTGGGGATGTAGCTCAGTAATAGAATTCTCCTCGGTGCATTCCCCAGTACTGCAAGAAGAAGAAGAAAAAGACAAAGAAAAAAACAAAAGACACCTTACTCTTTTTTTGGTGGTGGGTGATTTGGGGAAATTGCTTATGCAGTTTTAGATGACAAAGTTACAGCTGTGTCTTGAAGATTAAGATAGTTGGGGGCTAGGTGTAATGGCACACACCTGTAATCCCATCAACTCAAGAGGCTGAGGCAGAAGGATATCTGAGTTCAAAACCAGTCTCAACAAAAGCAAGGTGCTAAGCAACCAAATGAGACTCTGTCTCTAAATAAAATACAAATTAGGGCTGGGGATGTGGCTCAGTGGTTGAGTGCCCCAAGTTCAATCTCCAACATTCCCTCCCTACCTAAAAAAACGATAAGGGATATTAAACAAACAAACAAACAAACAAAAACCAGAGCGTATTCAGTACTACTGTGACAGGTTTGAGAAACATTGCAACAGGGTCTTGCAGTGGGGCAAAGAGATAGAACTCAACTTCAGTTGTGAACACAGCAAAGGCAAGTGGGAATTAATAGCCAAGAAGCAGGGCAGGCGTCTGTGGATGAAAAACTATTAAAAAGGAACATCAAGGAGGATTCTGCCTAAACCAGTTTACCCGAATTTTTGCAGGGCAATGTTCAAATTCATTTGAACTGGGGAATGGTGGAGTAATGGACCCAATCAGATATGGATGGTGATCAGAAAGTGAGGATGAGGGTGAGGGAGGAAGGATCTTGTCAAACTGACTTAGTAGGGCTCTTTACTAAAGCTAGACTTTATAAGAAAGTTCACACATGGGCCTAAGACAAGGTCAGGATGATGCCTAAAGTTCAGCCAAGCAAAGAATCTTAGGGGCGTAAATAAGAAAAGGCATTTTAGGCAAAAGGATCAGCTTGAGCAAAAATTTGAAGGTGACAAAGTACATATCTGGTTTCCTAAACCCCAAGAAGTCTAGGAGTAGATACAATAAGTGAAAACCAGTAGTATGTGCAGAAAGAGTAGTAGCAGTCAGCAAGCTTAGTCAATAACTATCTGTGAATCATAACAAACAAAAATACAAAGAAGCCACTTAAAGGAGTGCCACTAGCCTAATGGGATGATTTCAGCATCAAAAAGAATCATCATTATAATGGATTAAGACAACAGAAATGTAAAATGCATGCATTCATAATGATACTAAACAACAAAAAATTTTGTGGTTAATATTTTTGCTAGGGTACTGACTCATTTCTCTGAATTTTATACTTAAGAGAAAAACACTCAGCATTTATCTAGTCTCTTCTCTATGAGCTTTATTTCAATCCAAAGAGTTGGTTTGAGAAAGTTCTTTTTTGGAAGAATCCCCAAGATAAAGAATCATTGAGAGTACTAGAAATCAACTGTTCTAAAATAAAAGACTTAATATAAATATCAAAAAGCAATGTGAGGACTTTTTTGAATCTTGAATAGAACTAACTGTAAATGACATCTTGGACTCAAGCTGGAAAATTTGAATACATAGTATTAAATTACAGGAAGCAATTAGTGTTCATTTAGATACAATAATGGAACTTAAACATTTTTAAAAATCTGCATCACTTTGAGATACAGACAGGATTTTAAGAGTAAAATAATAATATGTCTGAGATATCTTTTAAAAAGGAGAGAATAAAACTAGACTGCGGGAAATGCTAACAAAGGTTGACTCTGGGTATAGATACTTTATTAAAAATGGGCTCACTTTTGACCATCTTCAAATTTTGCTATTATAGTTTTCAGAAGGCCTACAGCCCTTCCTCCTTGATCTAATAATGCCCAGACTGAGTAGGGGGCGGCAGTCTGCCCAGTAAGTTATGGAACTAGCCCACTCTAAACGCTGATGCGCGTGGGGCGATAGCCAAGGCCTAACACTGAGGAGCCTGAATTCCTCATCGCTCTCTCACAAGTCCCCTGGAAAGGGACTTTCTGAAATGAAAGCACCCAACCATTCTAGAAGGTTCTGAGACGTCCCAGGGGTTTCCGAAAGAGGTTACAGGCTATAACTGGCAAATCGCCTTTTCCTTAGCTCCCGGCGTTGACCCTGCGTGGGACGCTAAAAAGCTGCGGGCCACCTCTAGCAAGCTTACTGGGATTGAGGCTGTCCCTCTCCCATCCTTTCCCTCCCCACTCTCCTTTCCTCCTTTAGGTTTTCCGCCCTAACCCGGCTCCAGGATCCTCCCACAGGCGCCTCGCCTCGCCCCGCCCCTCTAGCGCCTCGCCCCGCCCCTCTAGCGCATCGCCCCGCCCCTCTAGCGCCTCGCCCCGCCCCTCTAGCGCCTCGCCCCGCCCCTCTAGCGCCTCGCCCCGCTCTGCATCCTTGTCCGGCCCCGCCCCTCCAGAGCCTCGCCCCGCCCCTGACCCGCGCGCGCCTTTTGCAGGGGAGGGGTAGGTTACCATAGCTACGGTGCACACAGAAACTGGACCTCCCTAGCTGTCCCTGGCTGGCCCGAGGAAAGAGGCAGCACCATGAGCCACGTAGTGACCATCGAGAAGTCCTCGACTGACCGTCAGTTATCTCAGCAACTGTGTCGGGAGAAGTCGAGGGGCTACTTTTCCTCCAATCGAACGTACGATTTCCTTTATGGTAAGGCTGCCCCAGAACCCGCTCCTGGGCTGTCGACTCTTGGGCCAGATTGACCTTACAGTTGGTAGGACCTTGCCGGGGAATGGTGAACGAAGGATGAACCTCTGGATAGACTCCCTGCCCAAAGTTGTCTGTTGTTAGGCTGGGGCAGCTACGAAGCTCTCCAGATGGCCCCGCGCTCAGGTGCGCCATGCCAGGTGCACCGCGCGGGGACACCTTACTCTTTGTCTCTGTCCTGGGATCATTTGCTCAGATCTGAGCTATCTTTCTGAAACCTACTTCGGCGGAAAAGTATGGAGAGATTTGCAGATTTGGGTATTCATGCACACAATGTTCCCACATTCAAACTCCATACAATGCCCTGCGAAAATGATCTTCCAGCTCTCATTCGCTGGGCAGCTTCAGATTTTGCATTGTAGATAAAGAGGCTGCAGTTTATCTCACTTTTGATTTTAGCATTTTATTTTTCATTAAACGTTTTCTCTTCCATTAAAATACTGTTTAAAAACTATGTTCCTCTAGCGCCAATAAAGCTCCAGTTTATTTTAATTCTCCGACTTTCCACTTGTGTTTTAACTCTATTGGACCTCAAAGTCCTGTTCTATATATTCTCAAAATCTATTTCAACGCTGGTACCTACGCTAGGTACTTCAAAATGTTAATTCAATTACCAAATTTACTGTTACATTTGTTACAACAGTCAAACATGATTTTTATTTTTTTTCCAGTTTTGTTCTCAGTAGCTCTAGGCTTTGGCCTGAATCTAGCATTGTTTCCAAACACATGGTGTTGCCTTTGGGATGCCCAGAGTCTTCTTTGAATGGGATCCTACAGGGTACCCATTTCCTGGATAGGAGCTATGTAATGATTGCTTACATATTCTGGCCCGGGAATCTTTATTCACACTTGGTTTCATCTTGTTAAATAAATCTAGTAAGTCCTGTAAACATATCTCTATGTTGCTTTCAAAGGTAATTTGAGAAGGAAGATAAACATCTTCAGTAAAGACAAGCAAAGAATTTATTAAGCTTGTTGGTTATTTTACCTCTAAGTGTCTCTTTTGCAGAGATTGCTAAATGTTTCCACATCCCTTGGAAAGAACAGAAATCCATTCATAATAGGTCAATTGAAAGTCTGCATTGTTACAATAAAACCCGCAAGCTCATGCAGCTAGTCACCTACAGGAAGCAAGGTATAACCAGGACAGTCTAGAACCTAGACAGGAAAATTAAACACTAATGTGACATGCTTTCCTGCTTTCTTTCTTTGACCTTACAGTCTTTTACCCTGTTAATGTTGACAGATTTAGCAAATAAAAATAGAGGATGTACAGTTAAATTTGAATTCCAGATAAATAACATAATATTTTAGTATAATTTTTTTCATCCCATGCAGTATTTGGGACATTTATATTAAAGAATTATTAATGGCTTATTTGAAATTCAGATTTAACTGGCAACTCTAGCTATCTGTATTTTATCTGGCATGTTATTGTTTTCTATGTATGTGCTTCCTTTTCCCATTTGACAGCCACTTGTGTATGGATTTATCTTACTAGAACAGGGGCTGGGGTGGCACTCTACATAACCTCTTAATCCTAAAGCTTACCACCAATTGTATAGAATAGAGTTTCATGTATCTTAGTTGAAGATTTAAAAGAAGTAACATTGATGCTGACCAGCTGGTAAGCTTGTTGACCTTGGGTCTGGTTTCCATCTGTTAGAAAAAAAAAAGAAGTGACGGGTTAGGTATGGGGTCAAAGGTATAAATATGAACACCTCTAAGCTCCTTAACTGTTATCTAAGAAGCCCTTGGTTATTTCCTTCACTTTTAATGTATTAATCTTTGCATCATTCTACTTCATTCACCCTGGTTTCTGCTGTTCTCCAACATTTCAGTCATGCTTTCATCTTAGGGCCTTTCATCTAGTGATTTGCTCTCCTAAAATGTTCTTCCTCCAGATATTCATATAGCAAATCCCTCACCTTCAAGTTTCCTTACATGTTATGTTGTCATGAATTTAAAATTTGATCCCAGTCTCCCTTACCCTGATATCTTTTTTAATAGCATTTATTATCCTCTAACTTATTATATAATTTCTTGTTTATTATATTTGTTGTTTAATGCGCTTACCATGAAGTCAGTTTTTAAAAATCTTTTTGTTGATGTATGTAGTCCAAGCATATAGGACTTAATAGGACATATAGGACAAAAACACCTTGTCCTAGACTAGCTGGTCAGGGTATTTGTTTCCCCAGAGATAAGTCTACTTGGGAAATAAAGTGTCTCTCTGAAGACTGTTTATGAGTTCAGTGTCAAATCAGTTCATTTTAATGGGTGATGTAATCAATCACTAATATTCTTCATCATTAAAGATATACCTAATAAATAAGTTCTTATAACAACAGGTTAATCTTCTATGGAACTTCAGAGAGATAACTTAGGCCCATCATCAATGTACAGAACTTATAAACTTAAGGAGTACATTCTGAAGATAGCTGACCTTATTTATTTCTTATTAGAAATTGAGAGTTCCTTACCATGTCTACCAATTCTGAGGAACTTTGCTATTTGCCTCTTCTTACTTAGTACACTGAATATAGAACTAGTACCTAAATTTATTGTTTCTTTCTCTTGTAACTGGGCATAGCACATATGTATATATAATATCTTTTCTCTTGAAGTATTTTCTGGACTACGAAGGACTTCATAGGAATGAAGAGAGCTATTTAGGGTATTGTGCTTGTAAAGATGCTGGTCTTTCTTTTTGCGTTCCATTTTCATAAACTGACTTGGAATATACAGGAAAGAAATGTATCTAACAAATTCTCACTGGTAGAAGGAATTGAATAATAGGGCCATTAGTTGCTGCAGAGTTAGGCAATATCTAAACTTTCTAATTTGTTTTCCAATTGAGAAATTACAAGGCAGACATGGTGTTACATACCTATAGTTCCAGATACTTAGTAGGCTAAGACAGGAGGATGGTTTGAGCCCAGGAGTTTAAGGCTAGTCTGGGTAACATAATGAGATCTCCATCTCAAAAAAAAAAAAAAAAAAAGGGAGAAGAAAGAAGAAAGAAAATTATATTGCTTTGCTAGTGTTCTCACCCTAGGAGAATATTTTTTCTACTCCTTATACTACTTTATTATGTTTTTTCTCAGATCCATTGTTTATTGTGTCAAGCGAGAAAGACCACACACAGGCATATATTCAAGCCACCCTGATTCGAAGCCGACTGGTATGTCTGATTCATCTACTAAGGCAACCTAATGAATCTGAACTGTCTAGCATGGCTAACTGCTTTAATCAGATTGACAATCATCAGATCTCCACTGGATTTTAGGGTCTGCAGAAATTGCTTTGCTATGATTACTAGGGGGCAAGGCATCTCAATACTTGTAATACAAGAGCCATTTGTTAATTTACTTTGATGGAAAAGATACTCATGCCTGGGTTGGAAGAATGCAAGCAGTATGAAAGCATATACAGTATAAACTAATTCTAGCCCTGCCATGTAAATAGTCACTGTCATCAATTTCCTGAGCGTCCTTTTAGAGATTGTCTATGCATACAACAATTGTTTTCCCAATATTCGTTGTCTTGTTCTATTTTTTTAAAGTTTATAATATAATTAAAGTGCTTTAGAAAATCTGATATTTTATATATGTATATAATTATGTTCTTTTTCTCCATTCCTCCCTTTCCTAACATTAGAGAAAAGTTCCCAGATTTCGAAGCATGTTCAGTAACCTGATTCATTATCCAAGATATTCTCAGTATTGGAACAAGTCCGATCCTCTCCCACCATTTATCAGTCGAGAATGGAGGGGACTTGAGAAGCATAAAGAAGTCCTCTGGCAGCTTTCCACGTAAGTGTCAGGTGGCTCCTGACACTAAATATACTTTGTGTATTTTTATTTTTAAAAATTTTAATGTATTTACTCTGCATTATTTAAAAATGTATGGTTATAATGTTTACCTGGACCAACTTCTCTTGTTAAACCCCTTCTTCCAAAACAAGCTTGATTAAGGAGCAAAGGTTATACATTTATTGGTTAGTAGTTCTCAGAAGGTTGGCATGAAAAAAATATGTAAATTACTAATCCACAAATTATTATTTGTGAGAAACTTCCTTATGGAGATATTTTTATGCTGGTTTTTTTTTCAGAGAAATGTTAAAATTCTTTGTGTGTGTGTGTGTGTGTGTGTGTGTGTGTGTGTGTGTGTGTGTTTTACGTGGTGATAGAACTTAGGGCCTCACATATGCTAGGCAAGCATTCTACCACTGAGCTCAGTGTCTAAGCTTAGTGTCATATCTAAGAAATGTTAAATTCTTAACTAAAGCATACTCAATTTCTAGATTTTGGGGAAGGATGCTTTAAATTAAATTACTGGGAATTTCAGAATGTCTTAGGAATTGGAGAACTTGCTGGGGTTAATGACCCCTGAAGCCCAAGTAGTTTTTGAAATCATAGCTTGTTTGTCATCTGCAGGGAAGAGACTGGTATGCCTGCTAATAATGACCTGAAAGTTGCAGAATATGTATACATTTATTGACAACTTGCCCCTGAGGATAGGAATGACTGAGTTTTTGTTACTTTGATCCATCTTTAGAAATTGTAAGTGCTCTTTTCTGCTAGTGTCCAAAATATTTTTTGGAGACTTACAGCCAAATCACCTTACTCTTGAAATCATTTTTTAAACTACAAAGTTAATATTTAGTAAATTAACAAATGATAATACTTTTGGAACTTTGTTATTCTCATGTGCTTTTAATTAAAAGTGGGCATTTTTATATACAGGATTTCACAAATATATTCATTTCTGAGCTCTCACTCCCTATTACTAAGTTCTTGTTTCCTGGCTTACAGGAAGTAATCATGCCTAGTCTAAGATGTAGAATAGCTAAATGCATGATAACAAAGACTTCCCTGTTACTATGAGATATTCAGACTCTATAGATGTAGAAATGTTAAGTAGAAATTAGAGGTGGAAATGATACACTTGAATAATGTTTTCCTGCTTCACTTTAGAATGGGCACTTGTTTTCAGATGCCTAAAGAAGTTTATGAAAATCCCGACGTTACTGGAAAGAATCGCTATAAATACTTTGACAGGTACAAAATGACTAATGAACATTTCAGTCTTGACATTGTTAGAAAATCTCTTTACATCAATGATAACAGCTATCATTTTTAGTGCATGCAATACACTTCATAGCTAATGGCTGGTGAAGCCCAAGTGGAGAACAGTTTCTGAAATCATGGCTTGTTTGCCATCACAAAGAACATACTGGTGTGCCTTCTGAAAATGCACATTCATTAGCTGTGTTCTACAGCTATTAAGTCTTCTGGGCCAGACTTGGGAATGTGCATTTTAAACAAGACCCTCCTCCCTCCCCTCAGTGATTTTATATATGCCAAAGTTTTAGTATTATTGTTACATGGGATATTTGTTGTGGGGCAGATCCCTCAGAAAACACACCAAGTCCTAGTTTTGCCCCAATTGAAGAGTATTTAGCCAGCTGTACTGCTCCCCACAGGACCCATAACTGTCTCTGCAAGGAACAGCCCAAGCCTGAGCATTTTAGGATATTTAAAGGCAAAAACCACATCCGGGTTGATGTAGCTGCAGGCAAGCAGGTACAGAAGCTGGATTGGGCAGTTAGTGAGACAATGCAATGGGTACATTGGTGTTTCCCACAGGATTTTGCAGGTTGACATAGCAGCAAGCAAGCAGAAGGAAAATTGGTCAAAATGATCCTAGTTCAGTACAAATTAAAAGAATGGTTACTAATGTCTAGACAATCAATCTCTGACAAGGTACATTGCCAAAGTAAAATGGAAACAAAGGAGAACAATTTTACATTGTATAAGAACTGCTATTTTGTGTTGCCAAGTCTAGGTAACTATTAATGGGTACAGAAGAGGGGCTTTCCCATGGGAGAAGCTTTTCTTACATGATATGGAGTCTCAAGGAAAATAGAGTAGGTTTGGTTATTGCCCAGATAGCCTGGTCCATAACATATTCAAAGATTTTAAGAAACAGATACTAAAATTAGAAGAAATGCAAAATGCAAATAAGTCCCACACATCTGTGTTTTTCTTTTTCATCCCAGGCCCTTCCTTCCCTTTTATCAACAGATGCCACTCAGTGTTGTTTTTGCAGCAACCAAGTAAGTGACCATTATTTCAAAGCACTCTTTTGATTTGTTATTTTCTTCCATATTTGCTTTTAGAAGATAGTTCTCTAAATCAATATTTTTCAAACTGTGGATCAAAACCAGTAGAAAGTGTGGAATTTTCTAGTGGGTCATGAGCAGCATTTTAAAAAACAAACAACAATAGAAAATAACCAGAGTATCAGACATATTGAGGAAGAGTTGCTTTTTGGTATACCTTTTAAGATGAATATATGCATGTTTTTATGTATATAATGAATTATGATATAAAATGTATTTCTTATTATGAGTTGTCTTAGTCTAAATATTGTAATAAAATACCACAGAATGGGTAATTTATACATAATAGAAATGTGTTTCTCTGGGCTGGGGATGTGGCTCAAGCGGTAACACGCTCGCCTGGCAAGTGCGGGGCGCTGGGTTCGATCCTCAGAACCACATAAAAATAAAATAAAACCGAAAACTGAAAAATAAATATTTAAAAATTCTCTCTCTCTCTCTCTCTCTCTCTCTCTCTCTCTCTCTCTCTCTCCCTCCCTCCCTCCCTCCCTCCCTCCTTCCCTCCCTCCCTTCCTCCCTCCTCTCTCTCTCTCTCTCTTTAAAAAAAAGAAAAAAGAAATGTGTTTCTCATAGTTTTGAAGACTGGGGAGTCCAAGATCAAAGCACTAACACTTGGTGTCTGGTGAAGACCTTACATGGCAGGAGGAGCAAATGCTATGTTTTCACACAGTAAAAGGTGAAAGGGCAAAAAGGGCCTTTTAACTAATTACCTCTAGCCCTTTTGTAAGGCACCAAATGCTCTTATGAGGCTTTATCGCTTCCAAAATAGGCCCTACCTCTTAATATTATCAAAATTGGAATTGAGTTCCAACATGAAGTTTGGTTAAGACATATATTCAAACCATAGCATTTATGATTAAGAGAAAAAAGTTTAATATTCTTTAAATGTCTTCTTTTGCTTTCCTGAAACTCACACTATGATGATGACTCTTCAACATTTTATCTGAAAAACTAATAAATTAAGGAATATTTTGGAATGCTAGAATTTTATAATTTAATAATTATTTAACCTATACAAAGCAATGTGATTTACAAAGATAAGTAAAATATAGTTTTTCTTGCACAAAAAATTGAACCATGATGAGAGAAGTAAAATTCAAGGGCTGAATCTGGTATAAATGTCTTCCATTTTTTAGGGCCAGGCAGCAGTTTATGTAGAGCATTACACTGAAAATCTAGTTTTTTGCAATACGTTTTCCTGTTAACATACCTTAATATTTCTCTCTGATTTCAAGGTATTCATGAAATGTTCAGGAAAAGATGCCTTTTTTAAAGTCTCAAATTCTGAATAGAAATGTGTTTAGGACTGGGTTTCAAGCATGTATTTAAATGATGTAGTTATTCTTAATGATATACATATATAGCATCTTGTGAATAAGACATATGTTGTAAAATATCTATAATCCTCAAAATAAATGCCAAATTGGATCCTACTTCTCCCTTGATTTTTTTTTTAAGACTTGAGATAGAGAATAGATTCCCTGCTCTTCCCAGATGGAGCAATTTTCTAAGATGCCAGCTTATCAAGAAGAGATGCAGACTTATAGGAAATGCTTTGTGTGAGCAAAGGGGGAGCTATGAGATGGGTGGATCCCTACAGATCCCCTGGCAATTCTTTAGAAGCAGGCTCATGGGATTGCCTACTTTGGAGATCATAGTTACCTTCTGTAAAACCATTGTTAAATTATAGGGAGTTCAAGGCCTACAGTGATTAACACCATGCTTCTCCTGCTCCTGTTACACCTAAGTAACAATGACATAAGGAATAAAAATTCTCCCCAAAAGTTAGACCATGACATTGGCATGTTAGAAGTTTTTACTATGGAAGTTTTGAAAGAATGAATCAGTATTCCTAAGCAAAGCCAACTCTGGAATCCGGGCAGGTTTGCGTTTCTGAGCAGGGAAGAAAGTGCCACCTGTATTAGGGGGAATAGATTGTCTAGGGAGCAGCTGGCCTTCTCCAGCCACAGCCTTTTCATGGCTGGTTTTTGGATCTTTGGATTCTTTGTAAACATCTTGGCATTGAGAAAAAGGAGTTAAAACTCTGAAAACATTCAATGAAATCTCTTTGTATGCAGCTCTGTTGGATGATGGAGGGAAAATTCAGAAGATGGGTGAGGCAGATAGTGAGGCCCCCTGGTACCTGGGCGGTGACAGAGGGAGAGTATTTGACCATGAGAATGGGCTGGAACAGAGCAGGGTCAGGTCAAACAGAAAGTAGGTGGGAAGTTTTGGGGTCTGAGTCTTGAAGGAAGAGGTTTGTTCTTTCTCATTCATAGTTTACTCTCCCCTAAAACTAACTGAAATGGGGGGAAAAACATAGGTTAGAGAAAATTAGTCATGCTTCTCCTGTTCTTTCCGAAGTAACAATGACATAAAGAATAAAAATTATGAATAAGTGTAGGAGTTCTATCAAAGTAGCATTCTTCTTTTGCATCCTTCTCTTGGGCACTTCTAAAAAAAAGAATACAAACAACAATAAGTATTGTCGAGGATGTGGGGGAAAAGGCACACTAGTATATTGCTGGTGGGACTGCAAATTGATGCAGCCAATATGGAAAGCAGTTTGGAGATTCCTTAGAAAACTGGGAATGGAACCATCTTTTGACCCAGCTATCCCACTCCTATAGCATACTATAGGGACACAGCCACATCAATGTTTATAGCAGCACAATTCACAATAGCTAAACTGTGGAACCAATCTAGATGCCCTTCAATAGATGAATGGATAAAGAAAATGTGGTATATATACACAATGGAATATTATTCAGCAATAAAAGAGAATAAAATCATGGCATTTGCAGGTAAATGGATGAAGTTGGAGAAGATAATGCTAAGTGAATTAGCTAATCCCCAAACCTAAATGCCAAATATTTTCTCTGCTATAAGGAGGCTCAGTCATGGTGAGGTTGGGAGGGGAGCAGGGGAGGATTAGAGGAACTCTAGATAGGGCAAAAGGGTGGGAGGGGAAGGGAAGGGATATGGGGATAAGAAGGATGGTGGAATGAGATGGACATCATTACCTTAAGTACATGTGTGAAGACAGGAATGGTGTGAATATACTTTGCATACAACAAGAGATATGAACAATTGTGCTCTATACATGTAATATGAACTCTAATGCATTCTGCTGTCATATATAACATATTAGAAGGAAAAAAGACACTAATCCACCAGAAAACTTTGTCAGAAGAATTTATTAGACCTTATCATAATCCAAGACCTTACCATAATTTGATAAAATGGTTCAAATGAACAATTATTTATTTTGGAATAAACATTCTCTTGATTCAAGCTAATAGTATGATAATATAATAAACTTTAACATAATCTGGGATGATGTAAAGCTGGTTTGAAGTTATTTTCTCAACTGGAATTTAATAGTAGAATTATTTCTGCTGAAAACATAAGAAGCCATAATTACCTGTATTGTCTACATATGTTAGAAATTCACAGCAACTGCAGTAAAACTGATTTCAAAGTATTTATTCCATCACAGGTTGAAACTCCAAATAAGCACTCCTTTCTAAATGGCTTGAAATGCATTTTTCTTAGGGTTAATCTGTTGTATATACTGTACTACCTCTGTTCTTTAAAATGGAAATATCTTTTTTTGTTGTTGTTTTATGTGTGTAGTGCTGGAGATTGAGCTCAGGGCCTCTTACATGCCAGGCAGGCCCTCTACCACTGAGCCATACCCTTAGCCCCTTGCCCTAATCTTTAGTTATTATTATTTATGTAATTTAACCAGTTCTTCTACCTGGGGGGTGGGCTTTTTTTTAATAATGAAAGTGGATATAGTTTTTTTCTTTCTTATTTTAAAACAAATACACACACGTTCACATATTAAAGAAGAAAATTTAGAAAACTATAAAGATGAAAAAATTCTCTCCGAAATTCTACCAAGAACTAATTACTATTTTTTTTGCCATGAAAGTCAATTTTTTGTTCTAATTACTATTATTGTGTTATATTTTCATCTAGTCACTTCTCTGTGTGTAAAAGTACAGTATTTAAAAACATAAAAGTGGAATTCTACTATATACTCTGTTTAATAGTATCCTTTTTCCTGCTTTTAATAAACCACAAATGTTTTTGCATATTTATAATTATAGATTGCAGTATTATTTTGAGCAGCTGCATAAATTTTATTATGAATGTTCCATAATTTTTAAATAATTTTTCTTTTGCTTGTAATCATTTAGGTTTATAATTTTTCACTCTTTTATGAGGCTTTATGAACATGTGTGCATATATATCTTTGTATGCTTGTACACTTGCCAAATTATTTCCTATAGTAAATTTCTAGGAGTACAATTGCTGAGGCGAAAGGTATTTAAGGGTTTGATATATATTAATAAAGTACCTGTCAGCCCGTTGTATCTGTTTGCATTTCCAACAGTTGTTTTTAAACATGCCCATTTTTTCACAATCTCATCAGTGCCAGCTACTTTCAAGTTTTTTAAATCTTTGCTTGCATGATAAAATAGCTTCTCTCTATTTTAATTTACTTTTATTTGATTGCTATTTATGGTTCATTATCTTTTCATCTGATAAAAGTTTTATTTTTTGTTTTGTTTGTTTACCACTTTTCTATGGAGTATTCAATTTCATTATTGATTCATAAGGGCTTTTTATGCAAAAGGCTGCTTAGCTTTTTATTAGGTAGGCTGCAAAACCTATTTCCAAGGTTTTCATTCACCTTTTAAAATTGTGACATTTTGAGATATAGAGGTTTAAACTTACCCTCAGTGCTATGATCATTTCTTTTTTTAAAAAATTAAGTCTCTCTTCTAGATACTTTTTTTTTTTAAAGAGAGAGTGAGAGACAATTTTTTAATATTTATTTAGTTTTTTAGTTTTCGGCAGACACAACATCTCTGTTTGCATGTGGTGCTGAGAATCGAACCCGGGCAAGCGCGCTACCACTTGAGCCACATCCCCAGCCCCTATGATCGTTTCTTGTACAGTTTCTGATGCTTGAACCATGCTTAAAAAGACCTTTAGTGAAGGATGATATAAATATTTTCTTAATCTATTAGTACTTTTGTAGTCTCATTTTAGCTTTACATTTTTAAATGATCAGGAGTTAATTTTTGTGTAAGGGATTAGGTAATTTTCCCACGTTAGCCAAGTTATCCTGGCATTAATTATTAAGTCATCCATCCAGAAAGAGGCTGACTGGCTAGCTTGCTTCCTTTTATCTCAGAAAACATCCCTTCTCTCTCTGTTGCTCCTGTATTTCTAGAGAGAAATAGCTGAGACTGGTGTATGTGATTGAAAGCAGAGAAGAAACCAGGGAATTTAAATTCTAAATAGGTCTAGAAGTACTGTACAACATCCCAGAATCCACCTTTTTTTAGTTCTATACAATTTTGTGAGTAGATCAACCTGTTTATTCCCACTCAATTTCTAGGTAGAAGTGAGAATAAGAAGATAACTCTATCAAGGTTTGGGAGCATAATCCTGGTTTTACTGGATTTATAACTTTGTGCCTATCAGCATGAAAGGAGTAAATGGACTTAGTGAACCTGAAGAATTTATTTCTTCATGATTATATAGTATTTTAAATGATCATATTAAGCCTCAATTTAAAACTATTTTTCTCCTTTTAGGACAGAACCATATATTTTTCCTCCTGTTCCTTCTAAGTACCCAGTCATCCCTTCAAAATCTACTGTGGGCACTCAGACTGATTATAGGGATGCTGATGTTCAAACAGATCCATACTCTCCAGAATATGTAGTATGCCAAGACACGATCCCTGAGCTCTTAACCCTGGCTACTCTGACTTGGGGTAAGTTAGTAATTCTCTTGAATATTTGAAGATGACAGTACAATCACCATTCACACTATTGAGTTCTTGGAAATTACACACATACAGGCAACTCTGGTTTATAGAGTGAAGAGATAACCTACAGACTGAGAGAAAATATTTACAAATCATATATTTGATAAAGAGCTAATATCCAAAATATACAAGAAACTCAAACTATTCAATAACTAGAAAATAATAACCCTATTAAAAAGTGGGCAAAGAACTCTATACACATTTCTCAAAAGAAGACATACAAGTGGCCAATAGATATATGAAAAAAATGAAGATGAATTCCAGAATGAAACATGCAGAGGTAAAGCAAGAAAAAAGAGTCATGGGAAATGGCATTGTAAGCTTCAGAAAGTGAGAACAGAGGGAATGATAAAGAAGCAATGCAGGAAAAAATAATGGCTCAGAATTTCCCAGAACTGCAGAAAGATATGATCCCTCACAAAGAAAAATTACGTTGAGTACTGAGAAGGATAAATATTTAAGAATTCACATCTACTACTTATAGAAGAAAAAAATACAAAAACTATTAGAGAAAAAAGTGAGATTATCCACAAAGGGATAAAACCAGTTTGACATTTTGTAATTTGACATTAATATTCAAGATATGGTAAGCAGATAATTATAGATCTAGAATTTTTTACCAACCAAAATATTATTAAGAAATGAAGGTGGAATAAAGACATTTTCATACATAATAAAACTATCTTATAGAGTATTACAAGGATTAGATAAATTCATTTATGGAATATGCTCATGCCTACACCCAGAAATTTCGTAGGTGTTTATCAAAGAAAAGTGAACACATAATTTTAATAGAAATCCATGTGTGTTCACCAAAAGACATGTACCAAAGAGTTCATGTACACTATTCATAATAACTCCAAAATGGAAACATTTCAAATGTCTGACAACCATACAATGAATGTTGAATGAATAAAATATAGTACATTCTACACAATGGAATACTATGTAGTAATGAGAATAGAAAGTACAATTATATATAACCACCTCCGTGAATCTCATATATATATAGTGCTGAACAAAAGAAGTAAGATGGAAAAGAGCACCTACGTTGTGATTCCATTCACATCAGACTCAAAACCAGCCACAACTAAAGTAAGTTGTTAGGCATGAGGATGGCAGTTATCTTGGGCAGGTAGATGCTGGGAAGGGGGTCTGATGGGCACTATAAGGTTTGGGTATTATTGCATTCCTTGATCTGGGTGCTGGTTATATGAGATGCTCATTTTTCACCTTTCTGTACTTGTGATATGCATTAATAAAAAGTTTATAAGAAGATAAATGAAAGAAAACATAGTGAAAAAGGATGACCCTAAGGACAAAAACTGAGTGCTTATTACTATGTACCAAGAACAGTGGCAGGTGCTTTGCATTTCTAGCTTATTTAATTCTCACAGCTTAAGTAAATAATGAAGTTAAAATCAGAAATTAATAATATAGAGCTTTAAAAAAGGCAGAAGAAATGCTTGTTGGGACCATAAGGGAATTTTTTGATACAGTCTAATAATATAACCAAGCCTCTTGTAGGAAGCATCAAGGAAAATACGATGCAAATACAGAGTGTTAGATTTGAAAGGGAGACATAACTACAGAGTAAAGGATGTAAGAAATGTAAGATAATAATATGAATATCTTTTGCTGTATTTTTTAAAACAGACACAATCATTAAATAAAATATAAATTACTAAGTTGATTTCAAGAATAGATGAGTAACTAAAGAAAATGCTTGCTAAGAAGGAAAAAAAATATATTTTTAAGAGCACCAGGCCCAAAGAGTTTTGCAGGTATTTGCCACTCTTTCAAGGATCACATAAACTCTTGTTTTTGCAGATTCCTCGTCAAAGAGAGAAAGAATAAAAGTTAATTTATTCATTTTATGAAGCTAGTTTAGATTTGATTTGAAAATTGAATAAGGACAGTACTGGAAGGAAAAATTACAGCCAATCTTAGGTGTAAAGATATATACAGAAAATTCTAGATAACATACCAGCAATCAAATTTTGCTATATTTAGGCAAGGTGTGATGGCACATGCTGTAATACCAGCAGCTTGTGAGGCAAAGGCAAGAGGAACACAAGTTCAAAGCCAGCCTCAGCAAAAGCGAGGCACTAAGCAACTCAGTGAGACCCTGTCTCTAAAGGAAATACAAAATAGGGCTGGAGATGTGGCTCAGTGGTCAAGTGCCCCTGAATTCAATCCCTGGTTACTCACCCACCCCCCAAATTTTTTTTTGCTGTATTTTAAAAGAGTCACATCATAACCAAGCAAAATTCAAGTTTTTGCAGTTTCAGAAAACCAATCATATTATTATAATTTTAACATAAAATATAGGAAAAATGCTTCATTGGATGCAGAAAAAATATTTGATAACATTCAGTGCTCATTCATGATGCAAACTCAAAATAAATTGGGAGCAGAGGAAATTTAGAAACATAATAAAGAGCATTTATTGCAGCCTTTAGTAAACATAATACCAAAGGCAAAACTCTGGAAGCTTTATTCTCAAAGAAAGAGGACACCCTAATCTCCACCATTACATAGCAATGTGTAGAGAAGATCCTAGCATACAGTTTAGCGAGCTGGGCTATGATCCCTCCCCACCCAGGGACATTTAGAAGTATGTGTGTCATTTTTTTTTAAATGTAATAATGATTAGGAAATGCTGCAGGCATTTAACATATGGAATGGGCTGTAGAAGAAATTTAGCACTGACACTAAACATCCTGTACCTCATGGGATTGTCCCATACAAGAAGTCATTGTCTGCCCAATCTGGCAATAGCACCCTGATTGATAAGCATGGAGTCAATGCAGTAAAATAAGAGAAAAAAAAATTAGTTATGAGGATTTGAAAGAAGCAGCAAAACTATTATTTGCAGACATTGTACTTGTTTGGAAACCCTAGTAAAATCAATGATCAGAACAAGAAGAGAGTTCCATGAGGTAGTTGGTTATGAAATCAACATACAAAGAAAAGTACGCTTACTGTATGAGAATAATATCTAATTGGAAAAATTATTGGGAAAAAATCACATTCATGATAGAAACAAATGACAATGTACCTAGGAAATTATTTAATAAATAAATATATTAAAGCAGTTTTACAGAGAAAATTGTAAATTGTTCTTTAAGCTAAAAAACAAGGATTTGATTCCAACAGAAACACACCATGTTTGTGAACAGAAAAACTCATGCTCGAATAGATTTGATTTCTTCCCTGAACAATTTATACCTTCAAGAAATTCTAGTTCAAATTCTTATTCCCAATATAACTGTGCTTGTGTAAATTTACATCTTTCTCTTCTCTTTCCCTAAATTATATAAAAGCAACAAGGACAACAAAACTCCCACAAACTCCGCTTTCGGTGAAAGTAAAAATTATATATACTCTATGAACTACTAAATATTTGTAAGGACTGCAAAAAGCAACTGAGATTAGGCAGAAGCAATGTGGGAGGAAGTGAGGAACTTGGAGTCAGGGAATCTCAGAAAGCATGAGCAAAAATATACTTCCTGCGGGTAAATTTGGCAGTATCCAGGATTAAAATGCTCATATTTTATGATTTGACTGCCAGACTCTAGCATTTCCACTTCTAAGAATCCTAGAGAAACTCACACATGGGCACAAGGAGACCAGTACAGGGATGCTTTCTGTGGCATTGTGCATAATCAAAAAATTAGAAGCAGGGTTGGGGTTGTAGCTAAGTGGTTAAGTGTTTGCCTAGCATAGGCTTCTATCCTCAGCACCACATAAAAACAAATAAATAAAATAAAGGTTAAGTTCTTTAAAAAAATTAGAAGCAATCTAAATGTCCATCAGCTTAAATTGTAATGAAGTCCTAGATCTCTATAGATCAGTATGGTTAAGCCCCTAAAACAAAGTTGAATTTTTTTAAAAAAGCATGTTTCAGAATGATATATCATGTAGTACAAGCTGATGTATATAAATATTAAATTTAAAAGTAATATAAAAATTTTATTTATACATAGTTCATTTTTGGCTAATATTTGAGCCAAATCTGGTTTCTGGTTCATATTTGTTTTTGTTGGAGAAAGAGTGCCCTGGAGTGTGTAAGAACATGAAGCTCACACGAAGCTTACACTGCCACCTTCAGATCCTCATTTCTGCTTCTTACCAGCTCTGATCTTGTGCAAGTTACTCCTCCTTTGACCCCTCAGTCTCTTCACTTGTAAGATAGGAGTAATTGTATTTATATGATAGGGATTTATGGAGGATTACATTAATTAAAACAGTGCTTGATATATTTTAAATGCTTTTATATAGCAAGATATAGATATATAAATCTGAATATAAAATACTAAGATTGACTGGAAGGAGAGTCCCAGATTTCTTTTTGTGTTTACTCTGGGAAAAAGGCACTGGGGCTTGATATGTTGGTAAACTTTATTTTTAATGTCTTTGGCTAAAACAGGTAAAGTATATGAGACAAAATGTGTATGCGGTTGTTAAATCTGAGTATTTAAGGTTTTATTTTCATGCTCTTTATTTTTTAAATTACTAAAGAAAACTTCTCACAAAATACACAAATTATATATATGTGTGTATATAAACATGTATATGTATAATTTTGCACATGGGTTTACTAGTTTCTTTATACACACCCATAAAACTAAAAATGAATTGATAATATATATACTCATTGTGATTTCTTCTAGAAATGAAAGGGCAGAAATATAGAACTTTATTATTTTCTATAATATCCTAATTTTAAAACCAAGAGAGAGTAAATTCACACATTACATATATACAAGTATAAATATAACAAAAGATTTGAACAAATAAAGCAGAAATTTTATAATAGTTTATTATATTTTTTAGAAATAGAACTTGTTATTTATTTCTTTATAATTGTTTTTAAATGACAATAAAACAAAGGTTATTGGGGTTCAGTGATCAAATAGGAAACTTGTTCTAGTCTCCATTTTCTTTATAATTTTTGGTCCCAGAAAGATGATGGAGTAAATCATATTTAGAGGTGCTCTCCACATCTTAGGGCTCGGTTATGAGCAAGAGGCAATGCAGGGTACCAACAGCACAAGCCTAGTGGCACATCTAGAAGGCATTCCTGTGTCATCGTGTCCTGTCACAACCCTTGAATTTAGGGAAGAAGCTAGGAACTGAAAGGGAGTAAATGATACACTGGCAGAGCGTGGGCTTGCCCCCTGGTTTCTAAGGTGGGATGTTTCATCCTCCAGGTCGAGGTCTCCCCGCAGGACAGGCTGAGGTGGAGATGATAGAACGAGCCAGGGAGAAGCGAGCTTGGGAAGCCACTCTTCCCCCTCTGGGTGACATCCGCCAGTTTGAGAAGAGGAGGAAGATGATGAATGTGATGGAGAGGAAGGAGTGGGCCTTCAGAGAGCAGGAGATTGAAAAGTATGTTACCTACCATCAGACAGCTACCCTGCACTGATGGAAGTTATGTTTGGACTTCTTTTAATCTGTAAATCGATTTCCCAAATGCCGGGTTCTAGAAGCAATCTCAACCTATGGAGATAAGAAATGGGGTTTCTCATTCTTTCAGGAGAATCGCTGCCTCCTGAAGTGGTGTAGGAGTTCTCTATAAATTTCTCTCCAGTAACATGAAAAGTTATACCCTCCTGGTGTGTGAAGTTCAGCATGGAACCCAGATGTCAGCATCTCCTTCAGAGCATCTCTGATTCTTCTTTATTTCTTTTATTTATTTATTTATTGTATCTATCATCTAGACTGTTACAGAATCCCACTGATTTCTGCAAAGCATCTTTCAAACTATCCCTTTGCATTCATTCACAGTGCCATTGTCCCCATTCATATCCACTGACGAGCCTCCTAGGAGTTCTGTCCTATACTCCCCTGACACTGGATTTGCAGTCAGGATGAAAATAGGCTATAGGCATTTCTGATTTGAAAGGAAGAATTTAAATGCTTCTATTAAAAGATGAGAATACATGATGATATGCATAAACATTATGCCAAGGCACTTCAGCCATTTTAACTGACATAGTTTTGGTAATGAGGTTATTGCTGAAATGTAGAAATGATGAGAAATTATTAGCACCAAACTCCCTAACAAGCAAGAAAGGAAGGGTACTTGCAAGTCAAGGGTGTCCTTCATTGTAAGCCATGCTGAAGCACTTACTGAAGTACTTATTCATAGCGATGCTACCAAGGCCCCTTACATACAAGGGAGTTAGGGACCAGAAAGCTAGGGAATCAGCTTGCTGGTGAACTCAAAATGTGTTCTTTTTTTTTTTTTCATCTGCAACACCTTCAACACCTGAATCCAGACTATGTGATATTTTGGTAAAAGCTTGTAATTTAATAGAAAATAGTATTTGGGGGTAAAGTAGGTATCAAACTACCCAATCTTATCTGCAAAAACTTAAATTTATAGCTCTACTTTGGAAAAGAATGTCTTTTCAGAAGAAATTAAAAATATTAAAAATTTATCTCACCAGAGTAAAGGCATCACTTGAGAAGGTAAGTACTTCTGTTATACTGAGGACAGTTTTAATAAACATATTTTGAGTCCCTCCTATGTTCTGGGAACTATGCACTGTGCTATGAGATGGGGGAACAGAATGGGAAACTGCTGGGCCCAACAGAGCTCCTTATAGTCTCCTGGGGCTGGGAAGTAGGAGTGTGGGCAGAGGATGAGACAAAAGACCTCAGATGGTCGGGCATGGTGGTGCATGCCTGTAATCCCAGCAGCTTGGGACGCTTAGGCAAGAGGATCATGAGTTCAAAGCCAGCCTCGGCAATAGCAAGGCACTAAGCAACTCAGTGAGACCCTGTCTCTAAAGAAAATACAAAATAGGGTTGGGGATGTGGCTCAGTGGTTTAGTGTCCCTGAGTTCAATCCCCGGTACCAAAAAATAAAAAAGACCTCAGACCAACACCTCTCAGGTATATTCTACCAGTGATGTGCTTCTCTCTATACCTAGTGCTAGGGGAATCCACGTGAGAGAACAGTTCATTGTGTTTGAGATGGGTGATTTGGAAAAGGTAGCCACTGAGCTGGGTGTTGAAGGATGAGTAGGAAACCATCAGGTGGATGGTAATGTCGATGGTGATGATAGTTAGAGAGCAAGTAACACTATAGTGTTCTTACAATGGGCCAGGCAGTGTTCTATGTTAGTGGTTCTCAAAGTGTGTTTTATAGATCAGAAACATCAGCATTACTTGGGAGTTTGTTAGAAATGCAGATCCTCAGGCCCCATCCCAGACCTACTGAATCAGAGGTGGAGCCAGCAATGTGAGTCCTACTAAGCCCTCCAAATTATTCTGGAGCACAATTAGGTTTGAGGACTACTGTTCTAGCACTTTGTATACATTGACTCATTTAAAGCTCACAGCAACCTTATGAGCTGGATACTATTATCTCCCTTTTGCACTTGAAGAAACTAGGTAAAGTGGTGAGGTTGAAAACTGGACCTAGTAGCCATGGAGTGCTTCAGTGCGGGAGGTGTTCTGAGAAATGTGTGCTTAGGTGACTTCATCCTTGTGTGAACATCACAGACAGTGTTTAGACAAAGCAGATGGCAGGCTCATCACAGTGTGGCTCTTTGATGAAATCAAGAGAGGTGCTAAATGGGAGATGCGTGGGGATGCTTCCTGCATAGCACAGCATACGGTCTTACAGTAAACGGAGTTTTTAGAAGGAGTACACCTTAAACTAATGATAAAAATATAGTAAGCACATAAATCAGTAACAGCGTTGTTTGTTGATATTATCAAGTGCTGTACATAATTGTACGTGCTGTGCTTCTATATGGCCGATGCACAGTAGGGTTGTTTACACCAGCATCATTTAATAGGTGGTGCTGTGATGTCGCGATGCCTGTGGCATCACTGGGTGATAGGCGCTTTTCAGCTCATTATGGTCCCATGGGAGCACCATAGTAAATGGGTTCATCCTTGACGTAAGAGTCGTTATGCAGAACATGACTGTATTTCTCACTCTAGAGAGAAAAGTGGCAGCTGGCATGTGTCTTATTTTTAAAAGTGTCTGTCTCTCCATACTCATTTGTCATTCCTGCCTCACCCTCCCACATGCACTCTAAGAAGCTCTGCTAGTTGATATGTTTGTGCTCTCTGGGCCTTTTGGCTGAGCCCTAGCTTCTCCCTTGTCTACGTGGCAGACCCCAAACCTCATTTATCCCCCGTGCTCTGCTGCTGACTTGATACTTCCACAAGGAAGCCTTCCCATCACCCCCTTCTTGCCCTTGTTTGTCTTTCTTCTTCCCCAGAGGTCTTTTTATTCTTCTATCCTAGAATTTATCTCCTTGTTGTACATGTTGGTTTAGGCCTCTTCTGGACCACAGTGCTTCTTGAACGGAATCTTGTTGTGCACGTCATTGTCTCTGGCCTCCTGTATGATGGGCACTTGTTAAATATTTGACAATTGAGAGAAAGAATAAATTAATGCATGAGTTTTTAAGTAGGAGTAAAATGTGCTTTCAGAGCTCTGCTTTAGGAAAGTGAACCTTGACAGCTATGTGGGACAAAGTTTGGAAGAAGGAGAGACTAGCTGCAAGGAGTCCCAGTTAGGAGAGAGAATACGAACACGAACAAGGGAACAGATGCAAAAATGGTTGGAGGAGGGATCATTGGCAGAGGGAAGAAGATGTGAGGAAAGGGGTAGATTTCTGGGGGAACAAAATGAGTACCTTTTTTTTTTTAAAGATAGTCAAGGGACAGCAGGAATTTAAGCAAAGTCTGGTTCAGAAATATCTGAGCAGTCATCTGTACAGAGTTGGACACTCTAGGAGAACACTTATATGCAAAGGGAGGGGAGCAGACTTATTGAGTACCTACTATGTACTGGACACTGGCATTTTCAGATTCGTACCTCATTTTCTCTTCACTTCCCCATTACTTAATCCTCCAGCAATACCACTCAATCTGGAACTGTCCAGACCTCTTGTTCTTGTAGGTCCATCTGCCCGGAGAGCCCACCTACCATACTCTTCTTCATCCTTCATAACCATCCCCACACATTGTGATTAGATTCACTCTTAAGTTCCTCCCCTTTTCCCTCAAGTCATTCATCACACTTTTCTAGAGTGATCTTTTAGAAAAGCCTATGAAGACGATGCCCATGGACAAGATCCCATTTGTGGCAACTGTTCATGTGCTCTCTAGTAGGAACACATATTTGGAATACCATGAACTTATTAATGCTCTGTAATTTATTTGAAGACTGCAGGACTTTCGCCTGGAAGTTTTAAAAGAGCTACTGAGGAGGCGTGAAGAGCGTCAAAATGAACTGGACATGAAGCACTTGAATGCCCAGTGGAGTAAACTGCAGGAAGCAAAAGAAGCCAAACTGTCCCAAATCCATCGCACACATATATCAAGTAATGGTGTAGTATGAGGATGGGAGAAAATGGAAAAGGGGGCTTTGCTTTCTAATTTAGCTATGATAAAGTTCTGTTTGCATCCTAGTGTTATCAGATAGGTAAGGGATGAGAGATGAGTTATTTTTCAAAGGTAGAAGGGTGTCCCTCTCAACATCAAGTGACCACATTCTAATAGATAGTTAAGTTGTTGATGTTATGGAGGGGGTGAGTGTTGGTTCCTCATATTGATGTCCAAGGCCCTGGATAGAGAATCCTATTGCTCCACTTTTTTTTGTCTTATTGTCCCCTAAAAATGAACTTTAAGATACATTTTTTTCCTAATCACACCTCTCCAAGAAATTTTAATACCACTAACATCTTGTATATATGTTTATGTTCTACAAATGTATTTGTGCTTCATGTATAAAAATAGGAAATGTACACCTTACTCTTTATTCAATGCAGAATTAAGAATTACTTGGGCTGGGGCCATGGCTCAGTGCCTAGCATGCGTGAGGCACTGGGTTCTATCCTCAGCACCACATAATAATAAAATAAAGATACTGTGCCCATCTATAACTAAAAACTAAATATTTTTTAAAAAGAATAAAAAATTTAAGTGAAAAATTTTAAATTATTAACATTTAATGGTAAAGCTTTACTTACTGAGAAACTGTTAATGTCATTTATTTACTTAAAAATTCTATTACCTTGGGGCTGGGGATGTGGCTCAAGCGGTAGCACGCTCGCCTGGCATGCGTGCGGCCCGGGTTCGATCCTCAGCACCACATACCAACAAAGATGTTGTGTCCGCCGAGAACTAAAAAATAAATATTAAAAATTCTCTCTCTCTCTCTCTCTCCTCTCTCACTCTCTCTTTAAAAAAAAAAAATTCTATTACCTCCATATGCAAATTAGCAACTGATATATATACAAGTAACAATCACATTTTAGAAAATAATTCAAAACTACTAGTTTTCTAACAAAAGTTAAGCAATTACAAAAATTAAATTACTGCTTAAAATTATTTTGGTGAATGTAAATTCCTCTTTTTTTTTTTTTTTTTTTTGTAGTGCTGGGGATTGAATAAGCAAGCACTCTACCAACTGAGCTACATTCCCCAGCCCTTCCTTAATTCCTTCTTGGATGTAAAAAAGTAACTTTTAAGTTACAACTAGATATTCATTTATTTATTGTTAACCTTTTTTTCTTTTCGGTACTTGACATAACTAGTAAAGTATCTGACTAATTTTGTAGATAAGTAATAAAATATAAACCATTTTTACTTAATTCTAAAACTCTAAAAGTCCCATACAAAAGCACTAATGATTAAACAGACAATAAATATGCTCAAGGCAGAGACATCATATGATTTACACCTTGGGGTGCACCTGGACCATTTAAAGGGAATGGATCTGTGAAGAAAGGAAAAAGCAGGTGGAAGACAGAGAGCATGACCCCTGAGCTGAGAATTCTCCTAATGGGCACCGGTGAAACTTTCCCCTTTGACTGCCAAACAAGTCTGAAAGCTGTAAACAAAGTCATTTTCTGGTTATTCTGATGTTAGCCAAGATGAACCTCTCTTTTAATTGTCTTGTAGGGGAGAGTACGTCTCCTAGCACTCACTGAACCTGTCTTTTCCATTTACTTTGGATTTCCCTCATTTAACAAACTTTTATGGAAAACGTCTTGGCCCAAAGCTTTTAAAAGCTTGCAGTTATAAAAGATTTTTGATTAGTACGAGTTGACAACAAGCTGATTTGGCTCCTGTCACTCCTACCTATCTCATGGCAGACCTGTCTTTAGTGTCACATTCTGGCTCTAGTGAATCATCCTGAAATTCATTCAGTTCAGTAGCTTTCCAATGAATAAAACTAGAATAGTTTACTATTTTGCATTTCTAATTCAGAACAATATTTTGGAGAGAGTCATGTAGGTATGTTTTATTTCAGCAATCAGAAAGCTTGAAGGAAAGGGAAAGAATATAGAAGGGAAACTGAAAAAAAGAGATATCATCAAGGATTATTCTGATTATGCATCACAGGTCTATGGACCTCTATCTCGCCTTGGCCGTTTCCCAGACAACAACTCAGAGGACTTTATAGTAAAAAACTACTATCTCAACACCTATGAAGGTAAGCAATTTGCATAACTAGAAGTCTATTATAAGAGGGTTATCTTGGACATGTGGATTAAATATATAAATTTAGACTAAAAGCTAAACAATAAAAAATATTTGTAGGAAACAGCAACGAACAGATTTAATGTGATTATTAATATAAATTCATACAAACCAATAAAAACTCTTAAGACAGAAATTAATATATGAACACACTATAGAACATTTTAACAAGGTAAATTCAACTAGCTACTAAATGTTTGAAAATGTTTAATATAGTTAATAATCAAAGTTATGCAAAAATTAACTAGAAAAAAAACTTTTATAGCAGGTTTATGAAACAAACAAGACTTTCATAATGAATCAACCTGAAAGAAAGAAATGTCAGAAAACTAGAGGGCAAAGGGATGGGTAGTCAGGTGGTAAATTCACGGAGAGGACTGTTTCTTTTCTAAAATGTAGGAGGCTTATTTAAATTGTTTAAATTTGAGTTCACAAGTTGAAGCATCGTGTGGCCAAGATCATGAGTTGATCATCACACTGTTGAACTTTAGCTCTGACTGGCCATTTCTAGAGGAGAATATGACAATGTGAGAGAATATGAACATTCTCTTTAGAGTGGTGGCAACATGTATCTTAGCATTTTTGATTTTCTGTTGATAGTAATGGAATTTATTGTTCCTTTGTAGGGTAACATTGTTATTTTAAAATACATTTATTATTTATAGTTCAAGACACTGAGAACAGCGTTAATTACACAGAAATGTGCTTACCATTTCAGGGGCAGTTCATTCTATTATATGGGTACAGCTTATGAACACCTCCAACAAAATCCATTTTAATTTTACTAAAATTAAACATATTCATCTGAAATGGTAAATTTAAGCACTAGATACTAAAAACGTGTGCTTCCTTCCCATAGGATTAATTGAACTTGAATCAAGTCTTCCAGATTTTGTGACACAACCGAGAATCAGAACTCCAAAACCAAAAGTCGGTACCACTAAATCTGGTTTTCTGAAGAGGGCAGCAAGACTGGACTATGAGTTGACAGAGGTTCATAAGGTATCATTGTTATCTGGAAGACAAGAGGCTTCTAGTGAGACTTCTGCAGAGAAATGCTGTAGTCTAATTTGTACTTTGTTTGGGGCGGTGTTGAGCAGTGGGTCTAATGTAGGACCTCGTGTTCTTTTTTCCTCGCTAGACTTTTCTCTTCTGGAGGTTCCTCCTGATGTGCCAAACCCATGTGCTTTCCTCCCCTCACTTCAAAATGAAGGAAAACTTAGAAGTTATTCTTCCCATTTAGAGAACTCGTGTTCCTTTCTGAAAGTGTCCAAATTTGGATCTATAAATTAAAATTTGACACTTTACTGAGGAATAGCAAATTTCTAGGATTAGTAATAACTCTTGGTGTTAATAGTTGCAAAAGGCTCCATTTTCTCCACTTCATAATTGTCACCAGGGCATCATGAATATAAGGAGGCATCATGAATAAAAGCAGGCATATTCAACAGCTTTCTCATTTAGATGAGAGAGTTTGATGGTCATCAAACTTTAGTATGCATCAGAATCATGTGGGAGGCTTGTTGAAACATGTTGCTGGGTCCCCCCCATTTCTGCTAGGTAGGTTGGGGTGAGGCTCCTGGAGTGCTGGCATATTTTAATGATGCTGATGTTCCAGGCCAAGGAAACACACTTTGGGACCCATTGGTTTAAGATGTGCACCATCACTAGTCCATGCATGTTTGTTTGTTCCATTGATTTCAGTAATAAGAGTCTATGGGAACCCAGGCTCAACAATGATGTACATGTATCTATGCGGTTCTTTCTCATCTAATTCCCCTGTGTACTTTTACCTATGCAGAATACTGCGTTCACCATATGCTCACTTTCTATAAGAATGTGTTTTCTTTTATTAGAGCTTAATCGTTATACACAGTAATTGGGTTCATTCTGTCAAACTCATACATGCATGGAAATTGATTTCAGCTCATTATCCCCTCTTTTCTTTCCCCCTTTTCCCTCCTGTCCTCTCCCCGCTCCAAGTCTCCTTTCTTTACCCTACCAGACTTCCTTTTGTTCATCTATTTATTTGATTGATTCTTTATGTTGGATAACATAAAGAACATCCTTCCCTTGTTCTTCCCTTTATTTTACTCTAGCTTCTGCATATGAGAGAAAATATTCAACCTTTAAGTTTCTGAATTTGGCTAATTTTTCCTAGTATAATATTCTCCATTTCCATCTACTTATCTGCAAATGCCAAAATTTTATTCTTATATTATGACTGAGTAGAACTCCATTGTGCACATATATATATGCACATAGATATATCACAGTTTCTTAATTCATCCATCTATCTATTAATGTGCATAACTTAGCTATTGTGAATTGTGCTACTATAAATATCGATGTGATTATTTTGCTATATATGCTGATTTTACATATTTTGGGAAAATAACAAGGAGTGGGACAGCTGGGTCATATGGTGGTTCCATCCCCAGTTTTTTGAGGACTCTCCATACTGATTTCCAGAGTGGTTTTACTAGTCTGCAGTCCCACCAACAACGTACAGGTGTACCATTTCCCCCACAACCTCACCAGCGTTTATTATTGTTTGTTTTCTTGATCATTTTCATTCTGACTAGAATGAGATGAAATTTTAGTTTAGGTTTGATTTGCATTTCCCTGATTGCTAGAGATGTTGAACATTTTTTCACTCAGTTGTTAGCTGTATGTATAGGTGTCTTCTTTTGAGAAGTTTCTGTTTCATTCTTTTGTTCATTTATTGATTGGGTTATTTGGTTTTTTGGTGTTAGGTTTTTTTGAGTTCTTTGTAGGTTCTGGATAGTAATCCCCTCTAGGAGGAGTAGCTGGCCAACATTTTCTCCCATTCTGTAGGCTCTTTCTTCTTGCTCTTAGTCATTTCCTTTGCTGTACAGAAGCTTTTTAACTTGAGAGCATCCCTCTTATTGATTCTTGGTTTTATTTCTTGTGCTTTGGGGGTCTGTTGAAGGTGGGTTGGTTCCACAGTTTAGCTATTGTGAGTTCAGCTGCTATAAACACTGATGTGGCTGTGTCACTGTAGTATGCCTCAGTTTAGGTGTAAACTGAGGAGTGGGATAGCTGGATCAAATAGTGGTTCCATTCCAAGTTTTCTGAGGAATCTCCATATCACATAACGGTTGCTCCCAATTTGCAGTCCCACCAGCACTGCATGAGTGTACCCTTTTCCCCACATCCTCATCAGGATTTATTGTTGCTTGTATCCTTGACAATTGCCATCTGACTGGAGTGGGATAAAATCTTAAAGTAGTTTTGATTCGCATTTCTGTAATTGCTAGAGATGTTGAAAATTTTTTCATATATTTTTTGATTGATTGTATTCCTTCTTCTGTGAAGTGTCTGTTCTGTCCTTAGCCCATTTATTGATTGAATTATTTGTTCTTTTGGTGTTGAGTTTTTTGAGTTCTTTATATATCCTGGATATTAGCGCTGTATCTGAGGTGTGTGTGGTAAAAATTTTCCCCCATTCTATAGTCTCTCTCTTCGAATTATTGATTGTGTCCTTTGCTGAGAAGAGTAAGAATGTTTTTGTGGATGATTTTTGTGAGGTCTCAGAAGCCCCCTTTTGTTCTTAATTTACTAAAGGTCTTACTGTGTCTTTGTTGAATTTTTTCAGGCACTTATCAAATTTATATAGGTATTTTAAGCTGAACACTTCATTTAAAACACTGATTTCTGCTGCATTCCACTAGTTTTGATATGTAGTATTTGTCATTATTCTTATTCTAATATCTAAAAATGTTCAATATTGTTTTGAACCTGTGAGTATTTAACAGTGTTTTAAAATGTCCAAATATGTAGGAATTTAAACTCATTTTTTTTTCAATTAGCTTACTCAATTGCACTGTGATTACAGCTAATTGTCTATGTGATACCTTTTCTTTGAAATTTAGTGAGGGCTGCTTTGTGGACTAGTATATGATTATACATATAACATAATCAAAGTCCACCTTTAGATCCTACTATACCCCTCATGTGTGGGGCAGGTACCTTATAGCAGATAATTCCCATTTCCTATCTCCCATCCTTGTGGCATTGCTTTGATTCAAAAGCTGTAATCACCCAATACACTTTTACTCTTATTACTTTAATAGATTGTTATCTTTTAATGCAATTAAAAATTAGAAAAATAAAATAAGATTTTGTTCTACCTCATTTGTTCTTTCGTTGCCATTCTTCGGTTGTTCATGTATCTACACAGACTTCTAAGTCTCCGACCTGAACAACTGGTTTCATTGTCTCACATGGTGCTCTGGCAAGCAGCTTCAGTGTTTGTCTCAAGAGTCTTCCTCCTTTACTGTTGTAGAGGGAGGGAGGTGTAATTCACACACAACAGAATTCTGCCCATTTAAAATGTCCAACTCAGTGTTTTAAGCATGTTCACAAAGTTGTGCCACCATCAACACATTTTATTCCGGAATATTTTCATCGTCCCCTAAACAAATGCCAGACCCACTAGCAGTCACTTCCAATTCCCCTCTTCCTCATTCCCTCACAACCGCTGTTCTGCTTTTTCATTATGGATTTGCTTATGCTGAGCATATTGTGTAAACTGAATCGTGCATTAAATGGCATTTTTTAATTTGGCTTCTTTCGCTTAGCATAGCATTTTAAGGTCAGTCCACATTCCCATACATCTCATTACTCCATTCTTTTTATGACTGCATAATATTCCATTGCATAGATATACCACATTTATTTATCCACTCATCAGCTGATGAATATTTGAATCATTTCTAGTATTGGCTATTGCAAGTAGTGTTACTGTGCATTTTTATGTTCAAGTTTCTGTGTGGACCTGTTTTTAGTTCTCTTCGGCATATCTCTAGGAGTGGGATTGTTGGGTCCTACAGTAACTTATGTTTTACTTTTGAGAAACTGCTAGATTGTTTCCAAAGTGACTGGACTGTCTTATATTCACATCAACAATGTATGAGGGTTCCAGTTTCTCCATCATTTATTATTGTCCATCTTTTTATCATAGCTATTCCAGTATGTGTGATGTGATATCTCATTGTGGTTTTGATTCACATTTCTCTAATAATTAATAATATCAAGCATCTTTTTAAGTACCTGTTACTCATTTATATCTCTTTTTTGAAGATATGTCTATTTAGATCCTTTACCCATTTAAGAATTTTTTTTAAAATTGTTGAGTTATAAGAGTTCATTGTATATTCTGGAGACTAGACCTTTATTAGATATGTGATTTACAAAGTTTTCTCCCATTCTGTGGGTTGTCTTTTTCATCTTCTTAATAATATCCTTTGAAATCCAGAGTTTTGATATATATATATATATATATATATATATATATATATTAGTTTCAAAGAGTGATTTTGCTGAGAATAGAATTCTAATTTGTTTTCTTTCCTCTTCCAACTCTTCAAAGATTTTACTCCACTTTCCTCTTGCTTGCGTTGTTTCTTACTAGAAATCTGCTATAATTCTTATCTTTGTTTCTCCATGGATAAGAGGTTTTTTAAAATTTACTTTATGAGCTAAGTCATGAAATCATGGAGGAGAAATATTCAGAAAAGTGTAAAAGCATTGCTAAGTGCAGTATTTTCAGGCCATTTTGGTAGAAATTTAAGCTGGAATATATTTCTGATGCTTTGTGAAAATAAGTTCTTTAAATTTGCCTTTTGAGCATATTAAAATGTATTGTTTGGTAAGAAGATTTCTTTAATATTCTCATGTTCATTCATACTCATTCCCTCAGCTCCACTTTTGTAGGCAATTATGAGTCTGAGATTAAAGAAAATTGCATTTTTGTTTGATTATTATTTTAATTGGATTTCCTGACCAAATAATTTTCTTTTAATTGTAACAGTTTTGATAATTTTTTCTTTTAAAAAAATTTGGATATTTTTCATTTTTTCTTGTATTTAAAATTAATTTGTTGACTAAGCAACATATTACATAGTTCAAAATTCATGAGTTATTTAAGAATATTAACCTAAATGTTTTTCTTACATACTTGTGTCTCAGTCATGTAGTTCTGTCTCTGGATGAAACTCATGTTATTAGATTCATGCATGTCCTTTCAGAGAGATTTGATACAAGCAAATATCTGTATATGTGTACATATATGTGAGTGTATTTAAATATATACCTGCACAGAAGCATACATGTTCATGTACATTAGTACATTTTAAAATATGTTCTAGCAAATATGTCTAAACACATATAAGTCTCTTTTAGAATTCTTTATAATTCACATGTAAATAGATAAAGTGTGCTGTTCTACCCTTGCATTTTTTACTTAATATATCTCAGAAATCGATTTACGTCATTATTACCAGAAAAACTTTCTTATCATTTTTCACACTTTCATGATATGTCATGGTATAAATGTACAAAAATTCACTTTTGATAGATATTTAGATTATAACTAATGCTGCAAACCAGGTATGGTGCCTCACACCTGTAATCCCAACTACCTGGGAGGCTGAGGCAGGAGGTTCAAGGTCTACCTGGGTAACTTAGCCAGACCTTGTCTTAAGATAAAAAGTAAAAAGAGGGGGTTCCCTCAGTGGTAGAGTGCACCTGGGTTCAACCCCAAGTACTGAAAACAAAAACCCAGACAACAACACTACACTGCAGTGAGTGACATTTTTTGCATATAATTTGGCACATGTGTGAACATATCTAGAAGATAAATTCCTTGACTTGGGATTTCTGGACCACAAATGTACGTGTACTTATAATTTTGTGGTTATTGCCAAATGCTCTTATTTAAATGATTTATCAATGTTAGCAATATTCAAAAGCGCCATTTTCTCACATCCTTATCTACATAATTGGTTATGGATGATTGGTTTTGAAATAGTTTCATGTGGTATTGTTCAGGACTCTTCCCTCAAGACTTCATAAATTATTAATTGCTTTTAGACTGCTGCTGATTTCTGTGGAGTCACCAGTTGTGGTTATTGTAGGGCTGATATATATTTGCTGTCAGTTTTATTTTGGGCAAACTCAGAGGCTCCATTACAACCAAAGTTAGATGGTTTTAAATTTTATCCATGATTTGCATATTTTAAGCACTTTCAGGTGTGTGTGTGTGTGTGTGTGTGTGTTTTAAAACAGTGTTTATCTATGTTTTTAAGAAAAATATAATTTAAAGTATATTATATGATGAAAAATTAACTGAAGTATGATTTTAAAATAACAAGCAGAATTTTTCCTTCATTTAACTTAAAAATATTCCCCTCTGGTCAAAATAGAACCAATGAGCAAAATCTTACATTATGTGTTATTTGAGGACTTTTAGTGATCAAAAATTCTAAAAAGATATGTCAAAATACAAACACACATATAACTCTCTCACTAGGAAACAAGCTAATTTTTTAAGAATCTGAATGTTCAGGTTTCAAGGCCAAAGAAAAGGTCTCTTCTCCACTTTGAGATAATTGCCATCAAATGTGCTTCAGTTTCCCTAGTAACAATAAGATATACCAAATATTTCAATCATTTGCTGCATAGCAAAATTTCCTATGCTCAGACATTCATGTGATACAGCAAATTAGCTCATGTGGAAAAACAGGAGTTGGATTTTTCTTGTGTGCACATAAGACAGAACCTTTTAAAAACTCATAATAGATTGGGATTGTAGCTCAGTGGTAGAGCACTTGTCTAGCATGTGCACGGCCCTGGGTTTGATACCCAGTACCACACACACACACCAAAAAAATCCTTTAAACCTCCCAAATCTTTTATTAAAATAGATACACTAAGAATATGTGCCATATTTATTGAGTGGTTACCCATTCCTTAGGAGTATCACAGCACCCCATGGGAAATGCATACACCCCATTTGTACTTTCTCAAGCTGACCCAGCATAGCCATAGAAATATTGTTTTGATTGATATTCAGATCTGCAGCCTCGATCTGTTAGTAGAGGAAAATACAAAGAAAAGGGATGACATTAGTTGGCATTATTTCAGGCACTGTTGGAAAAGAAGAGTAAAGGTCTGGAACCAAAGAAACCTCTGCGCCTCCTTCAAAGAAACCCCATACCTGAGCCTCGGCTTCCAACTCCAACCTTGGAAATGAGTTCCAATGTAAGTTTGAAACTTTTATTTGAAATGCAGAATTCAGTATTGTAATCAGTTCATTTTAGGACAGTTTGGATTGAAAACAAATCTAATTTAACCGTGTTAGTTTTTCAAGCTCTGATTTTTTAAATTGATATTACATATTTATTAAGGCAAGGAACTATACAGAAAAAACACATTTGTTCTGTCAGGCTCTGATTTAAAGTTGATTTTATTTCTTAAAATTTATTTTATTTATCTTTATTTATTGTATTCTTATATACTAAGCATCAGCTACACATAAAACTAAGCATAGTGAATGAAGTGAAATATAAACCCAGGCTTTTTCAAGAAGAAAATCAGAAAGAATGAAAGCTCTTCTGATGAAAATAGGAATCAGAAGGTAATCTTTCACATGCCAAGTTGAAAAAGAAGATTGAGAGATGATCAACTACCCTACTGTCTCTCTTCCCATGTGAGTGGCCGAAGACTGTGGGAGTCAAGGAGGAAGGAAATGCTACAGATATCCTAAGGACAGACTGGCTTCTGGGCGAGTCTCCCTAACCAGGGCTACTTCTAATTAAACTCAACTTGGGCAAGATACCAGAGTTAGTTAAAACAAAACAAACAAAAAAAACTGCTAGAGATGCCACAGTGCAAAGTTATTTATTGAGAGAAACAGAACTGCCAGATAGATTGGGCTCCCTCTTTGCCTGGCCAGCACAGAATCTCTGTGTGGAGGGCAAGTCCCCACAAAATGTCCACCTGTGTTCAGAAGGTGTGCTACATCAGGGTAGGGTTGACAAGAGATCTCATGAATGCCTGTCACCACCTGTGATGACCTGTGTGGCCTCCGTGGAGGGACTGAAACACTCCCACTGACTGGCCACACTGCCCCTTTCTGGACGTCATGCAGGCCTTTGGTTGCACATCTTTGGGCTCTAGGTGTTTGTGCTCCCATCAGGCTGTTACTTTCTTTGACACTGAAAGGCACCTTGGTTAGATTTCCAGATCCTCATCTTTCTGCTTTTTGCACAGAATTATTTAAGGTGATTTTTGTAGATTAACTTATGCAGTATATTCTGAAATTTACCAGTTTAGCTAAATTCCTGTGAGAAGCACCTCCCTGCAACATGGACAACAGAGTTGTATTCTTTACTAGCTCATGATCAAACACAAAAATACTATGCTAAAAGGATAATTCAAGCAATACTTGTTGTTTCAAGAAAGTTTTTTTTTTTTCTTTTGGAAATGGCATCATTTGAAGGGACAGCATGGTAGTCTTATCATTTTGGTGCTTTAATATGATCTGGTAATGATGTTTATGATGAAAAAAGAATAATGTTAATGATACATTAAGTAACATTGTTTGAAGTACTACATATTCAATGAGGGCAGAGACTGTGCTTTATTTCTTTTTAAATCCTTCTGGCATCTAGCGTCATTTCTTGCTTGAAATAAATCTTCAAAAAAATATCTGATGCTTGGACTGCTGCTCTTCTCAAGCTGCTTGGTTCTTCTCCCTTTGTTCTTTCAGGAAGAAGAAGACATAGAAATGGCTGTGATCTACCTTCAAAGCTTACTCCGGGGTAGAGTCGTTCAGAACATGGTGGGTAGGTCCAAATACAGGCCCTGTGTTTCTCCTTTGAGAATGAGACTTTTAGAATGCCTATGTGCTTGGTTTATTGGAATGAATTTCCTCTTGCGTCCTGCTACCCCGTTCAGCTGTCTTTTAATTCACCTATCCATCTCCTTCTAGTGCTGTTGTTTGTCCAGGTGGGTGACACAGTGTTAAGGAGTGGAAGGACGTGACAACTTCTTGCCACAGTTGTAAATAAGGCAGTGTGAAACTTATTTCATCCCTCGAATTACTTATTCAATGAAATTTCTCACCTGAATTTTGACTGTTAAAGAATTACAAATTAAATGGCTTCCCTAATTTTCCACTGACTCATAACAGTTATTTGAATTTGTGTAGTTAACAATACCTGCATTATAAATGACATAGCTCATAGTGATAACTCCCCTTTTAAACTTGTTTTAGTCATTTTTTTTATTGCTCTGACCAAAAGACCAATCAAGAATACTACATAGAGGAGGAAAGGTTTATTTGGGCCTCCTGGTTTTATAGGTCTCAGTCCATAGACAGCCGACTCTGTTGCTTTGGGCCCCAGGTAAGGCAGACCATCATGGCAGAAAACCGTGGAGGAAGAAAGCAGCTCAGGACATGGAACCAGGCAGCAGAGAGAGACAGAGAGAGACAGAGACAGAGAGACGGGGAGGAACAGAGACAGAGATGAGACAGAAAGAAAGAGAGAAAGAGAGCGAGCTCCCCTCATCATGGACAAAATATAAACCCCAAAGGCCCACCCTCAGTGATCCACCTCCTCCAGCCACAGCCTACCTGCCTACAGCTACCACCCAGTTAATCCCCATCAGGGCATTGATGCACTGATTAGGTTAAGGCTGTCATAACTCAATCATTTCATTCTGAACTTTCTTGCATTGTCTCACACATGAGCATTTGGGGGACACCTAGTATCTAAACCATAAAAGAACCCCTATTATATTCTGACATTGTTGTATGTTTTGCTCTGTTTTTGTTTGTTTTTCTATCAGGAATCTCATTTTATAGGCAAGTAATCTGAGTTTGAGATCGGGTTAGTTCACTATCTGGTCTTCCTTACTGGAAAGGCTCAGCCAGATTATTGTGCAGCTGGAGCAGGCACACTTTACCTTAAAAAAAAAAAAAAAGGCTGATTTAAATCTCCAGATAGTTTTACCCCTAAAGAACTTTGATCCATGGAGTAACTTCAGGGAAGCTGGATGAGGGAATGCCCTTGCATTTCATCGGTATTCTTTACTCTCCCTTCAGTACTTCCCAGGAGGAGTGCTGCAGGTAAATTCAAACTGCAGCCTGTGTCTTGCAAACCAGGGGCACATTTTTGGGAATGAAAACATGACCATGAAAAATGCTGCCCCCAGGTTTCTTAGGGAAGGAGCACCTGAAGGGGAAGGCTCTAGTTTCTTACTGTGACCCTATATTTGTCACCTTGTCTTGCCTTTCTCTGTTTGAGCCCCTGAAGCATTGAAAAGGGAACCAAATTCTAGCTCTGTGGGTCCCACCTGCCCAAAAGCCAGGAAAGAACTCTCTGCTCACAAGTGCCTCACATTTGTGAAGCTCCTAGTGCTGGGAAAAAAGGGATGGTAACCTGCCAGCCTGTCTTTGATTTGATTTGCCACAGATGTTTGAAGGGAAAGAAAAGCGACTGGAGTTGATCCAGGAGCTGCGCACCAGCCACGCACTCCAAGAGGATGAGAAACTGGTAAAGAAAGCCGAGAAGCAAGTGACCCTGGCCTTACAACGGCAGAGAAACTTGCACGAGCACAAGGTTCTTCCTTTTCTTTCCTGTTTTCATTATTGCACAAGTGATATTTTAATAACAAGAAATGAAATATTACAGAATATCCCCCAGCACTCTCTCAGCATTTTAAACAATGTTGTTGTAGTTCATAATTTGGGATTCTACTCTCACTGAATTGAATATGGTATTTTTATCTTTATTTGCAAAAAAAAAGAAAGAAAGAAAGAAAGGGAGAAAGGGGGAATGGGGATAAGGAGAGAGAAGATAAATTCCTAAAACAAAGACAAATGCACTTTTTCAACTTAAAGATTTTTTTCTTTCCTAAATATTGGTAACTACTGTATTTCAGTTGGTGAGGACCAAGCAGAATAAATAATAAAAACAACATGAAAAAAGTGAGAAATGGGATTTTAAAATATCAGCACTTATTTTTGCATTTTGTAGCCATATACAGCACATGCTGGTTAAATATGTTACTACCTATTATGGTATTTGGTGACTTTCATCTGACCTGTCTCTCTGACACCTGACACAGCTAAGAACTACAGCTCTAAACCAACAACTGTCAATGTTTTCTGTACTCTTCAGTGTTTGTCTATATACATATTTTTAAATGTCATTGACTTTAATATAGATGCACTTTAATTCCCTTTCCCACTTACCTCTGAATCAATCTGAGAATCAATTTGCAAAGTTTAGTGTCTAAAGTTTAGACTAAAGTTTGTTGTAAGCCAAGTTAACTTGACCCACCTTAGTAATGTACATAACTCTTGTGCCATGTGGGAATTGAGCACAAATGGCAAGCAATTTGGAAATGACCACAACTCTACTTCTTTTACATGACATTGGTGCCATAAATGGTTACTGAGCTTGGGAGAGCAGGTGAGGGGATTGGGAGGGAGGAAGTAAGAAAGTCACAAGCAGTGAGACCTCACAAAGGGACCAGAGAAAGACAAGGAGAATGTGGACACTGGAGCATCTGAATTGGGAGCTCCTTGGACCTAGAAATATCCAGACATGAGTACACCAAATCCTGAGACTCTGGGTGGGGAAATGGCCTCTTGGCCCTTCATGGTTTTTGATAATGGTGGACTTCAGCAGAGCAGCTAAGCCAATGGGCTTGTCAATTTTCCCCACTCGGTGGATATATACATGGCTGATGAAGTCAGCTGAGAGTGAAGGGAGGCATTCATGGGGAAAGCTGTCACTTAGCCAAGGGCCACTTACAGTCAGCTATACTAGGGAGATATATACCACTGATCTGCAGGGGCCCAGGGGAAGAGCACCTCACCTTTCCTCCTTCTCTTTCTGGAAAGCTGTCCAGAAAATACCCAATTCCCAGTTATGTGATACATTACATGCTATAACCACAGCAGAATCACCTTCTTAAATATTTTTACTTAATTTCATATTAGATTGTCCTACCTGAGCATACTCAAATTTCTTGCTGAAGAAGGAAGCAGTCATGAACAGATGGCCATCTTAGGACCTTAATGGTTGCATCTGCCTCCAGATGAGGGAGCTTATGTTTCTTGGAGACACAGAATTTATTTATGACCTCTGGGCTGAATGTTCAGTGGTTATGAATGAAGTAATGAAATGTTCTAGTTATGCCTTTCCTCCACTCCCTCATACAGCTCAAATTTCAACTAAGTGAAGTTGAACTTTGAGGTTACAAGGTACATGTAGGCTAGGAGATGGGTGAGGATGGGGATGTTAGGGCCAACAGCTACATTTGACTGACAGTCTCACCCATAGCCACATTGCCTTTGAGACCTGTGAGTATCCTTTCTCTCAAATACAAACCAGGAGGGGAGCTGAGCAGAGGGAAAACTGTAAACATGAAGGCAGCATATGGCTGGAAGAGGAACACTTTCCCCTTCTACCTGAGGACCAGGGAGGGAGCAGGATGAAGTTACACAGGATAACTCATCTTAAACACTATCTTCTCCGTGTGTCAAAATCAGGACCTGGTAAATAGGTAGTGTGGGCGCTCTGGCTTCCTCCTGGCCAGGAGCTCCATGATCCCTTGTTCTACCTCAGTGATCACATAGACATTCAGGCTTTTTCCTGGGCTGTTTCAAAGATAGTTGTTAATGGCTTTGAAATTATTAAAAAGACTAAAAAGTACCAAAGTTTTCTACTTTCATCTTATCTGAGATCTTAAAACTCCTCAAACTTGTGTGAAAGGATCAGACATTTAAAAATTAAAAGGTATCAGGAGTGAATTTCTAGGAGATCCTATTTTGTTAAACTCCAGTTTTAATAAGAACTTTGACATTTCCCTTCATGTCTGGGAAGATATACTTGCCCTTCTGAATCAAATTGAAAGGAAAAATACATTTTGTGTGGTTGCTAACAGAAATGTTTCCTAAATCCTCTTCATAATCCAAGGACTGTGATCCATCAGTGACTGACAGAACAATCTACTTTCTCTGTCTGAGTCTATAATAAGTTTTCATAATAAGGACACTTGGGATGGGGTCAATTGAGAGATAACATTCCTAATAGAAACCAACTGCCTTTGAACAGTGAATTGACTGTCAGAGTTCCGAGTAAACCAGCACTTCTGATAACCACATTCATAGTGAAATTTGTTGTATTATTATTTTTAAATAATAAAATTGTCCCTTCTCGGTCTATTCCCTAAAGACCTAAAAAGAGCATGCTACAAGGACACTGCTACATCGATGTTCATAGCAGCACAATTCACAATAGCAAGACTGTGGAACCAACCTAGATGCCCTTCAAAAGACGAATGGATAAAAAAATGTGGCATTTATACACAATGGAGTATTACTCTGCATTAAAAAATGACAAAATCATAGAATTTGGAGGGAAATGGATGGCATTAGAGCAGATTATGCTAAGTGAAGCTAGCCAAGCCCTAAAAAACAAATGCCAAATGTCTTCTTTGATATAAAGAGAGTAACTAAGAACAGACTAGGGAAGAAGAGCACGAGAAGAAGACCAACATTAAACAAGGATGAGAGGTGGGAGGGAAAGGGAGAGAGAAGGGAAATTGCATGGAAATGGAAGGAGACCCTCAGGGTTATACAAAATTACATACAAGAGGAAGTGAGGGGAAAGGGAAAAAAAATACAAGGGGGAGAAATGAATTACAGTAGAGGGGGTAGAGAGAGAAGAGGGAAGGGGAGGGGAGGGGGGATAGTAGAGGATAGGAAAGGCAGCAGAATACAACAGACATGAGTATGTCGATATGTAAATCAATGGAAGTGTAACCGATGTGATTCTGCAAGCTGTATACGGGGTAAAAATGGGCGTTCATAACCCACTTGAATCAAAATGTGAAATATGATATATCAAGAACTATGTAACGTTTTGAACAACCAACAATAAAAAAAATTATAAATAAATAAATAAATAATAAAGTTGTATTATTACTTTTAAGGTGTCACTGGTTGAAAATCATTTGGCCGGGCTTGAAGGAAGGGCTCTAGCTGACATGCTAGACTTCCTGTCCAAAGAGCTGGTGAGACTACAGGAAGAGAGGAGGATCCATGCCTTTGCCATGTTGGCAGAGCGTCAGCGGCGGATGCGAGAAGCTGAAGAGAGTGGTCGTCGCCAGGTGGAACAAAGGCGCCTGCGTGAGGAGGACCAGATATTTAAGGAGGCAAGTAGGGGAAGCCCAGGGCATGGAAATCCCCTGGAAACAGCAAAGTTACACCAAAGCACTCCCATGACAAGAAATGGCATTGGGTTTTTGTTTTTCATTTTATTTAGCAAATATATACTGGGTTCCTGCTATATGCCAGGAACTGTGCAAAGACACTGTGGGGTATTTTGGAGGACAAAAGGCAGACAGAGTCCCTTTTCCCTGGAAGTTGAGAAACGTAAAACATGCATATAAGTGTAGAATTAGAAAAATGCAGCAGTTCCACGAAGGAAGCAAATGGAGCCCAGTGACACATTTTAAAGAGGTTACTCTGCTTGTTGAATGGAGAAGAGGTGGGAGGAAGGACAGAGTGGGAATAGAGAGACTGGGAAGGAAGCTGTTGAAGTAGTGAAGCCTGAGGAAGAAACAGAAATCAAGTATGGTGCCCAGTTTAGGGCTTAAGCAACTGAAAGGTGATGGTCCTCTTTTCTGAGGTAGGTGAGTTGAGAGAATAAGTTTAGGGGTAGAATCAGGATTTCAATTTAAATTTGCTCAGGACAGCTGAATGGAGTTATTTTAATAGCTGCATATATAAGATATAAAGAATTTTTAAATACAATCACACTTTTGCAGGTACATACACCAAAAAATTCACAAAAAATAACCCAGTGTGCATAATTAGCAAATACAAGGAGGAGCACACATGGACACATACATAGCCATCTGTGTTTCTTTATTTACTCATACACTTACAAGCACAAATGTGTCCAGAAACGTACCTATTTATAAAGACACACAAGAATACTCAAGAACATATATCACTGTGAGAAGAGCACACACCTCTCTACTTTTTTACCTTATAGGTGTGACTTGCTTCCTCTACGAGAGCAAGCTATTGTATATTTGCTCTGGGCCTTCTCTGACAATAAATAGCATAGATTCCCATACCTACTAGACATTGAGCAAGTATATTTTGGTTACTTGGTCATTTGGTTGATACTATACTGAACTGTCACTGAGATACTCCCGTAGGGAAGGCCTAAGGGTTCAAAATTGGTGTCATATAGGTACATGTTCAGTATCACATACTCAGACTTGTGCTGCAGTGCCTGTCAAGAAACAGGTCCTGGGTTGTTACTGAGTCCTAGGCATTATCTCAATTCCAAAGAAATATCCAGACATGAAATAGAAAACTGCCCTGTCTCCAAAAAACTCACAATCCATTGAGGAGGCAGAATATATAACAAAATTCAGTATGTAGCAGTTGATGCTTATGATAATTCCTGTGTAAATACCTGTCAAACAGGCCAAAAGGCATTGCTTATTAGTCAGTATTAGTCAGTTTTTCATCACTGACAAAATTTATTTCAGTATTTCATCAAAATACCTGACAAGAGCAACTTAGAGGAGGAAAAGTTTGGCTTACAGGTTCAGAGACTCAGTTCTTGATTGGCTGACCTCATTGCTCTGGGCTTGAGATGAGGCAGAGCATCATGGTGGAAGGGCACAGTGGAGGAAAGCTTCAGCTCATGGCAGCCAGGAAGCAAGAAGAGAGAGTAGGGAGTCAGGGACAAAATATAACCCCCAGCAGCACTCCCCCAGTTACCTACTTCCTCCAGTCATGCCCCAAGAACTGACAATTGCCATCCAATAATACATTAAAATTATTAATCCACTATGTGGATTAATCCACTGATGAGGTTGCAGATCTTATAATCTAACTATTTCACTTCTGAACATTCCTGAATTAACACATAAGTTTTTTTGGGGACTCCTCATAACCAAACCATACATTTATGGTTGCACGCTTAGGGAGTAAAATTACAAAGCATAGGAGGTGTTTACTAGGACAGTCATTGAAATGAAAAGGGTCTGCAGTCATGTCCTTCTGAGGTACTAGCTGTGACTACATTGATGCTGGCCTAACTCACCATACTGTACCTATGTGTACTCTGCACATTTTAAAATCTGTATGCCATTTCAAGATTTCAAGAAAAATTTAAAAAGAAGGAGTCCGAGAATGTTGGGATAGTTCTTCAGAGACATAAGATCCTCCCATCTTTCTGTTATTCGCCCCCTAAGTTATGGCCCATTTAAGGTGACTACCTGTGTACCAGCATTATGTCCCCATGAAATAAGAAAGAAAAAAGAAGATAGAACTTTCCCTTTAAGAACTGTTTTTGGAAGTTACACACATAACTTCTGCATATATTGTCTTAGTTAGAATTTTATCATATGGCCGTGTCCAGTACCTATGGGTGTTAGGAAATGAAGTCTTTATTCTAGGTACCTGATTACCCAGCTGAAATCCAGAGGTTCTGTTATTTAAGAGGAAAAACAGAAAGGATAAAGGGAAATGTGCTAGCCTCTACTACAGTTAGATAGGTAGGTTGGCCATGTCACGCTGTTGATAAAGACAAAGGCAGAAACCAAACCAGGGTTATTGAGCTGAAGCCTTTGATCTTCCTGTGGTGCTATATTACCCACCCACAAGTAAGAGACATATTTCTTAATGGATAGGGGCTGCCCAGAATCAGTCGGTTGGTGAATGAGAAACAGAAGGAACTATTGACTTAATGAATGAAATACATGTGCTAGAAAACCATCAACCAATGTTTGTCTATTTTTTTGGTCTTTTAAAAATAATAGCTATTATTAGTAAGTAGGTATACTTTTGCTCTTTGCAGGTGGTTAAAGTTCATCAAAGTACTGTATCCTCATATCTGGAAGACATAATACTGAGTACTGAAGAGAATACTGCAGAAGAACAGGCCAGAAAAGAAATTGAGAAGATGGCTGAGGAAATCAATGACATTGCTTATGAAATGGAAAACCGGTATGCACCAAGAGATTATAGAATGGACAGTCCATTTGCTGGTACTCATGTAATTTTTTGGGAGCTTAAGATTTCGCCACCACAGAGAAACAAATATATAATTTGTGCTTCGATGTCTACTGTTTTATTATCATGATTCTTTATAAGTCAACATGACTATACCACTGTATGGTGGGAGCATTGGAATTGAATTCTCAGTTACCCTCTGTGATCTGGGTTATTTTCATACTACGTACTTTTAGAATACTCAGAAGCATGAAACAATGAGGACATGTGTTTGTGCAACATTATTTGGATTTGATCCCAAAGTTTTGGGCTTCTATGTGTAATCTGTAGTTCTAACATTCCCGTCCTACCAGGCCAATAAATGAAGGACAGGGTCAAATCCAGATTTTCCATGGAGTTAAGCTCATTAGGAATGTGGTATTTTAGATCATTCAGTCAAGGAAAAGGTCATGACAGAATTTAGGCAGTGGAGTTGTTCATACATGCAAGGAACATCTAAGTGCCATTAGCTCAAGTGAAAAACAAAGGAAACAGTTTAACTTCTTTTTTTTTCTTTTTCAGTCGAACATATCTTCAGTCAGAGGAGATTGTTGCCGAGTTGGTTTATAGTTTTTTGATTCCAGAGGTGCAAAAAGAGTTTGTCAAAGAAAAAGGTAAACTGATACAAATGCTTCACTTTAGGATTTTTTTAAATGATGTAAATTATTTTCAAAATCCTAGAGATTTAGAACTTAACAGAGATACAGGGAAATTCTGAAGATGCACTGTTTTCTTGTTTCAGAACTTGATAAATTCTTTTCCCGTTGTCTGACTGCAGAGTTTAGTCACTTGTCGTAGAGATGGGATGCAGTTCTAACAAGCTTGACAGAGTGTCAAGATCCAGCTTTCTTTAAAAGGAGGTTCCTAGTTCCAAGAATTCTATGGCTCAAACTGTGACGGCCTTTTGTAGCAGGGAAATATAAACTATGGGTATTAAAAACTGGGGGTGCCCAAAAGGTCTGTATCTATTCTGCTACTCTGCCTGAGTCACAGATACTGTATTTCCTCTCGACCTGTACCTAAGTATAAAGGTCCTCAATTTATCATATTCAAAAGTGGCATATTTTGGGGCTGGGGTTGTGGCTCTGTGGTAGAGTGCTTGCCTAGCATGTGTGAGGCACTGGGTTCAATTCTCAGCACCACATAAAAATAAATAAATAAAATAAAGGTACTGTGTCCAACTACAGCTAAAAAAAAAAAAAAAAGAAAAGAAAAGTAAAAGATTCTTCCAGAACTATGAGTCTATTGGTGAGACGCCTGATCCTAGAGGGAGGGCTGCAATCAGGACACGACCAATATTCAGGTGAAATAACAATGCAGAAGCTTTTGGGATTATGTAGGGAACTTCTGGACAGATTTAAAGCAGGAACTTATGGACAGATTTAAACTGTGCAATATTTGATTGCTTAATCAATGATAGAGAAAATGGTAGAGGTCTAACACATCAGGACAAAGAGTCACCATATTTTCATTCTTACAAGGTTGTTGTGTAATTTTAAAAGCAGTCCTTTCTAGTGATAAGCACTCAGTGTTTCCAGTGTGGCTTTATTACTAGCAGCACTGCAATCAGTAGATGTTATATGTTTCCTGGCCATGCTTCTGAGAGTCAATTCCTAGTGGTACAACTACTGGGAAATAGGATATGTACATTTTACCTTTTGATAGATTCTACATACTGTCCCACAAAAGGAGTGTTCTAATTTCTACTCCCAGCAATAGTTATGATAGCGCCATATCTATCTTCATAGTGTATGAAGTTTAATTTTCAGACCAAGTAATGTGTTTTTCTGTATCATCTTACATTCATTATAAAAGGGACCTTATGTTTTCTAGATCCTTAAGAAAATATATAACTCCTTTCTACTTCACCCAGGTCCAAAGTGAGATCAGCCTGCTTCAGAGCCATTCTACTTGGAGGAATTCAAGGACACAGGGAAACAGTGGGTTTAATATTTACTAGTTTGAGATCCCCTCCTACACCTCCTCCTAGGGATGAGGGAAAGATCTGGAGGAGGAACTTGAATGGAGGAAATCCTGTGGGCAAGTTGCCCAAGTCCTTAGTCTCTTCCCTTTATGTTTATGTCAAAATGAAAAAAAGCCATATGGACAGTCAGTGTACACTAGGAACCTGTTTCTTCTTTCAAATAAGAGAGTATATATGCTCCTTACCAAATGTGTTATTTATTATGTATACTCTTTACCAAAAGTCAAGGTGCTATTATATAAAGCTATATATAATAGCTTTTATATAGCTTTTATAAAAGCTATTATATATAGCTTTTATAAAGCTATATATATATAGCTTTATAAACATGGCTATTATATAAAGGCCATGTTGAGATATTTCACTTTTTAAAAAGCTGATAAAATTAGAAAGACCTTAAAGAGATACGTATATAGATGTAAAATAACAGTAACTGTGACATTTTAAATGCATGCTAAGCATAAAGCAGTGCATTAAGCATTTGAAAATGTTCATTATCTCAATTTCTTGCAACAGCTGTGAAGGTATTCTGATTTTTTCATGTGTTTGGAAACACATGACTTGCAGAGTTGAATCATGGTCTGTATGGCTCCAAAGCACCCACTTCTTTGGCCATACTACTGTGAATTGTAGTAAAAATGCTGAATGAATTACCCTGTATAAAGTAGCTGATACCTAAATAGCAAAAAATCCACAGTACTTCTTACTGTCCTGTGCTAGCAGTATGAGTTTGGATAAGTAACTAATCTGTCTGTGTCTATGTTTCTTCTGAAAAATGAGGATATTAATAATATTCTGTTTTACGGTTGTGGGAGAATTAAATGACTACTCATATGTCAATTGCTTAAAATAGTGCCTAGCAAAAAGTAAGGAAAGGGGCTGGGAATGTGGCTCAAGTGGTAGCGCACTCGTTTGGCATGTGTGCAGCCCGGGTTCGAACCTCAGCACCACATACCAACAAAGATGTTGTGTCTGCCGAGAACTAAAAAATAAATATTAAAAAAAAATTCTCTCTCTCTTTCTCTCTCTCTCTCTCTCTCTCTCTCTCTCCTCTCTCATTCTAAAAAAAAAAAAAGTAAGGAAAAAGGCTAACTGCTAACATCATTGTCATTATCATCAACACCTCTGACTTTTCCAAAGGCCTGGGTGCTTAGCATTATCTATACTAAGCCCTGATTACAAATATTCTTAGAATTTGGAGCTGGGACCACCTTCTATAGTCATGAGCCCAGATATTCATCATTAATAAGCAAAACTCCACATAGGAATTAAGGTTCAAAGAGAAGTGTGAGACAAGAGTCTCATTAAGACTGATCAATCATTTATAAGGTTTGAAGAAAAGAAAATGTAACTCAAATGAAGTGCTTCAATGTTTTTTGTGGGAAATGACAAAAAAGGTCTTACCTAATCAAAGCAGACTTCCTGGGCAAGCTGGAACTTGAGCTGGGTTTTGCAGAAGGTTAGGGTTTGGAGTGCAGTCTTTCCAAGTGAGAAAAGCTATGGAGGTGTGACATGGAGGCAAGTCTGCAGGGGAGGAAATGACAACTGAATTGAAGAATGTGAATAGAGGGAACAGCAATAAATAAGGGATGGGTTTGCTTTACCTTTTACTTAGGAAGATGTTCTTCTAAAACCAGAGAGCAGAGTGTTGTTAGTAAGCCCAATCAGCCCTAAGTTAGAAAATATGTGATTCACAAAATGATCATTTTTGTCATTACTCTCTTGAAAACATTTGGGAATGGTTTCATTCAGACTTTCAGAGAAAAAATTCTTCTGTCCCTTTTGCACAGTGAGGAATGCACAGCGAAAACATATTCTTGCAGCCCATCAGATCATCCATCAACACACAGAAGCCATGGTCCAGCGGAAATTTGTTGAGCGACCAAAAGATGAGGTCTCAAATGCTGACAAGTTACCTGAGGAGGGAACACAAAATAAGAACAGCAGCTAAGGTGAGTTTGAGTTTTCCATTTAGCAGAAGCAGAGGAGGAGCATCATTCAGCATTGTGTTGTGCTCTAACAAGCACAGTGTGAATAGATTGTCCATTGTTTAAGAAAATAAAGAGCTTCCATTTAAATTGGCACATTTCATCTAGGTCATGGTACCTACTGGCTGAAATGATTACAGTTGTTATGACAGAATTTGTATTCTTGCAATCTAAAAAACAAGTCTTTAAATTCTTTTGTGGGTTCTTTTAACATGTAACTATATTTTATCACAAATAAAGTTACAGAACATGTAAGGGTTTTTTTTTAAAGTTTCTTCTGATGGAGAGGGGTGTGCTGTGCCCTAAGGCACCATGCTAACTGTAAGTACAGCACAAGGCATGAAGCCTGCCCAGTTCAGCCACTTCTGCAGTGTCTGCCAGGGGTTGGAATGAGTCTCAATTAAACATTCATACTCACAAGACTAACTCAGGCCTCATTCGGTTGAGTCTACACAGCAGAATATAAGAAAGGAAACAGCTTCCAGCAGGGCCACATCAGACACTTCTCCTCCTGTAGCTCCTGCCATACCCACACACTTCTGTTTTATTTATATTTTATTAACATACCTATTTTATTTAGTCCCCAGGTTACGACGAGCTCAGGTACAAGAAAAAAGAGATTCAGGTTGTGGGGACAGGAACTGCCTTAGCTTATAAGCTTCATGAGGGTGGGGGTGGGCGAGGGGCAGACTCAAAAGTCAATTGAAGAACAAAAAGAGTCAAGTGATATTTTCAAGTGAATGTCCATTAAAATAGAAGGATATTTGGAATAAGTCTGAATGTGTGCTTATTTACATGGTTACTAAATAAAATATAACAAGTACACAGGTGCATCTCTGTTTTTGTCATGGAGGCTCCATGTTCAAGGTAATTGCTTTGTTCATCTTGACTACCTAAAAATTTTTTCTTTGTTCTGAATATTTGTAAGGTTTTTAAAAGTTTGTGCCAGTAAACTAATTGAAACTATTCTTCTCTATTGTGACACATTTAAATTACTGAGTGTAGTACTGCTGCTGCTTGTTTTTCTTAGTTTAAAATGTATGACTTGATGTTTTAAAGGTTATTTGTGGAGAAACTAAAACAGTTGCACAACTGACTGAAATAAAACACTTGGAATAAATTTAGTAGGGGGATCAGAAAGTACAAAAGATTAACATTTTTTTCCCTAACTTTTAACAATTGATATGCCCTGCTTTAGTCTCTAAGAATTCTCATTACATACTATGTCCAGATTATAAGATACTTATTTTTAAAATGAAATCTATATATTGACTTTCTTATCAATTATCTTATTGTACAATCAAAATTAGAGTTCTTTGGTTTGAAAACAACACATAGTGAACCTCCAGATAACTTTTAAGAACATATTTAGCTTTGTGGGTGGTATTTTCATGCAAATAAGTAAGGGGGGATTTATATTTTGTAGAAGTTTGGGGTCCTATTTTAATGTTCTTTGTATTGCAGTATGTATATAGTGTGTTAAGTTCTTTAAGAATCTCTCCTTAAATTTTGAGGTTAATACTTTTGTGCAACTGTGTGTTTTTAATAAAGCCATGACAGTGTTAAAAACAAACAAAAAAGAGTCAAGTGAAAGTAAGTCCCATTCAAAAGGAATTATGGAAGGAAGATTGAGATAAAGGAAGAGATCTGAGAGAAAACAGATTCATGATTTTAAATGTCAATCTATGGTTGTAAATTACATCATATAAACTTTTGTCTTCAATTAATAATGAAATAATATCTGAAATCAGTGAAGATCTAAAGCATGTATTGAGGTATAATATCATCTATTATCTATTATCTCCTAAATATAAATTCAATGGCCAAAGCATTTTGCCAACCTTATTATTGTTAAAAAAAATAAGACAGAGGGCTGGGGATGTGGCTTAAGCGGTAGCGCGCTCGCCTAGCATGCGTGCGGCCCGGGTTCGATCCTCAGCAGCACCACATACCAACAAAGATGTTGTGTCCGCCGAGAACTAAGAAAAAATAAATAAATGTTAAAATTCTCTCTCTCTCTCTGTCCCCCTCTCTCTCTCACTCTCTCTTAAAAAAAAAATAAGACAGAGGGTTGGGAATAATTTTTTGGACATGAAAGTTTAATATTAGCCATTTAAACAGCTTGAATTGAATAGATATGCATTTACTTCTGATTTTGATATCTGCTCTGTGACATCCTATGGTGACCTGTGATGTCAAGTCAGAGGAGTGAAACAAAATCATCTTCTATCTACTTATTTAAAGCAAAATACATTTCATTTAAGCCTGTATAAAGCATATATGATAGTTATAAAAGCTAGTTGTAGCTCAGCACATGGCTCAGGAGGCTGAAACAGGAAGATCGCAAGTTCAAAGCCAGTCTCACCAATGGTGAGGTGCTAAGCAATCCAGGGAGACCCTGCCTCTAAATAAAATACAAAAAACAGGGCTGGGGATGTGGCTCAGTGGTCAAGTGCCCCTGAGTTCAATCTTTGGTACCAAAAAAAAAAAAAAAAAAAAAAAAGCTAGTTGTAAAAATATCTAGTTGATACTCTAATGACAAACATTCAGCAAAGATGGTCAACCAATCAATTAAATGTTGGATATGAAGCTTAACTGTCTCCAAATTATATATTTCTCCCTTTTCTTACAGGGAGGAGAGAAGGGAAATTTTGAAATTATTTTATAATATATACAGGGAAAAGAGAAGTAGGCATGAATCACTGATTGAAAGCATATACAGAAAATAGGAGGAACTTCCGAAGGCCTAAACGTGGATGCCTGAGGCATTCCCGATCCTGGAGCCTAAACATGGATGCCTGAGGGACTTCTGGATCCCAGAGCCTAAACATGGATGCCTGAGGAACTTTCGGACCTGGGGGCCTAAACATGGATGTGCACCCGATGAACTTCCAGATCCTGGGGCTTAAACATGGACGTGCACCCAAGGAACTTCCGGATCAGGGGGCCTAAACATGGACGCCTGAAGCGCTTCCAGATCCAGGGTCTTAAATATGGATGTGCACCTGAGAATTTCCGGATGCTACGGCCTAAACATGGACGCCTGAGGCACTTCCGGATCTGAGGGCCCAAAGTCGGACTTGTACCTGAGGAACTTCCGGATCCTAGAGCCTAAACATGGATGTGCACCTGAGGCACTTCCGGATGCTAAAGCCTAAACATGACATGCTCTCAAGGAACTTCCAGATGCTATGGCCTAAACGTGGATGTGGGCCCGAGGAACTTCGGGATCTGGGGGCCTAAATATGGACGTGCACCTGAGGAACTTTCAGATCCTGGGGACTAAACATGGATGCCTGAGGAACTTCCGGATCTGAGGGCCTAAACATGGATGTGTCCCTGGAACTTCTGGGTCCTTGAGCCTATAAAGGGCAGGCGTGACTCTCAGAGGGGATGTGGCCCATGAAGGGGAGCCGAGTATGGGGCCTGTTGGGAGGCAGACTGAGCTGTCGCACCCTAAACTTGAATGTGACGGTGGCCTCACTTCCCGGCCTTCCCCTGGGTGTCACTTCCTCCCTTTCTAGGCAGTGCCGAGGAAGAAGTGAGACCAGGCGCAGGGGCCAGGCCCTGAGGAGGGACACCCTCTTTCTCCTCGCTTAGCCAGGCACCCGGCCTGGCTGGAGACGGGAACATCTTGTGACACTGGCTGCCTCCTGCATCCCTGCCCCAGGACCTCAGAGACCACAGGCGGGGACAGTCGTTGATTCTCCTCTGGCCTCTGACTTTCAGTCCCGGGGTCTGTCTCCCAGAGGGTCAGGGGGTCCCTGTGACCTGCTGCTCCTTACCCACCGTCATCCTGGGCGAGAACAGGTCAGGACACCAGCCGCTACTGAGAGTGACATCTCCTAGATGGGTGGCTGGGGACTTTGCCTCTGTCCCCAGGCCTCGGACACCGAATGATCCCCCCCCAGAGACAGAAAATAACACCACACTGCCCAAGACTTATTTTTAAGCTTTGGATTCTGAAATTTTCCTGCTGCCACCTTCTTTGTGAAGCCAGTTTTTCAGCAGAGACAATATTCCAGGGAGAAAAAAACAAAACAAAACATGGAGTCAATCAAACCAAGCTGAGATATCTGGTCCTCCAAGAGAAATCTGGATTGGAAGGAGAATAGCCATTCTCAACTGGTGAAATAATGAAGTTCCCTTGTCCTTATTTTGTGTAAGCAAAATAAATAATCTGATGTCAATCATCAAATAATTTTTGATGAGTGCTTGGCTCATAGGAAAACTGATTCTGTTTTATGGAATGAAGTGTTACCTGATTTTAAAATTTAAAATGAAGCCAATTAGAATTGTTAAATTACACTGTCATAATTCTGTTCTTTGATAGCAGAAATAAATAAACCTTTTTTATAAAGCATATACAGAAAATATAACATTATATATATTTTAAGTGACCTTGAAGACAATGGAAAGCTAATAAAGTAGTGAAGAACTTGTGGGTCAAAATCTAGGAGAGGACAGAAATTCAAGAGTATTAGGTCTGGTATTTGGACCTAGTTTTTTTCCTGGGTATGATCTAGAAAATGTGGCTGAGAGACTGAGCACTGCTTTTAAAAGCTTTACAAACTACTGGGAGAAAAACTAGAGTGAAGGTCTGGGGCTGGGGCTCAGCGGTAGCTCACTTGCCTGGCATGTGTGAGGCACTGGGTTCAATTCTCAATACCGCATATAAATAAATTTAAAATAAAACAAAAAACAAAGGTCTATCAACAAATTTAAAAAAATATTAAAAAAAAAACTAGAGTGAAGGTTGAGACCTGATAAACCCACTCCATCTGGGTTGGGTCTCTAAAAGTCCATGCCCTAGTAGTAAGGATGTAGGGAAGCAAGCTTTCCCTGCATGCTCTACAACTTAGCTTCTTTTGTAGATAGACACAATAACTTTATTTTATTTATTTTTTAATGTGATGCTCAGGATCAAACCCAGTGCCCACATGTGCTAGACATGCATTCAATTATCACTGAGCCACACCCCAGCCCAACAACTTAGCTTCTAATCATCCAATGATCGAAAATAAAAAAATTATCAATCTCTGAAATTGAAATAAGGAATATTCTTGATTCTTATTAGGTGAAGAAAACTGTTAGAAATAAAACTTAATTTTTATTTGGAGAAAATGAACAAGACCCTAGACCTCAATTTATTTTTGCAAATATTTTTATATATAATATCTAGAATGCAATAAATATCAAAGTACATGAGGAGATACAACAACTTTAAAAAAGCAGCAGCAGAAACAACCTACAATGGAAACAGACCTAAATGGACCTAAAATATTGGAATTATTAGATACAAGTTTTAAAATATAAAGTGTCATATGTTTATTGCTATGAACTTTCAGCCTCCAGAACTGGGAGAAAATAAATTCTGTGGTTTAAGCCACCCAGTCTGTGTGTGGTATTTTGCTATGGAAGCCCCAGATAACTAAGACAGGCTTCTGGTACTAGGAGTGGAGTGCTGTTTTACATCTCTGTGATCAAAACACCCAACAGGAACAACTTAGAGGAGGGAAAGTTTATTTGGGGCTCATGGTCTCAGAAATCTCAGTCCATTGACAGCCACCTCCATTGCTCTGGCTCAAAGTGAGGAAGCATACCATGGGGGACAGGCCTAGTGGATGATAACTCTTCAGCTCACGGTGGGGTCAGGAAGCAGAGCCAGAGAGGGGAGGAGGAAAGGGCAGTAGGGAGGATGTAAACTTGAAGGGCACACCCCTAAGGATGCTTCCACCATGTCCATCTGCCTACAGTTATCACCCAATCAGTTTATTTCAAACTAGGAGAAACTTATTAGTTACAGCTCTCACAGTCCAATCATTTTACCTCTGAATATTTCTGCGTTAATATGGGAGAGGGGATACCTTATTAGCAGGAACCATACATAGTATGTGCTACTGTAATAAACACCTAAACATGTGGGGGGGGTGGCTTTGTAACGGGATATAAGTAAAGCCTAGAAGAGTTTTGTAGTGATGCTAGCAATACTGACACTAAAGGTAATTCTAATGAGATCTCAGATGGAAATGTGCAATGTATTATTAGAAACTGGATAAAAGGTGAGCCTTGTTATAAGGTGTCAAGGGACTTCACTAAACTGTATTTAATGTTTTATGGAAAGTAGAAATTTGTAAGCAATAAATTTAAGGAGATTTTTAGCAAAATATTAAAAGAGTGTAGCCTTGATTCTTTCTCATTGCTTATATAAACATGAAAGGCAAGAGATAAATTGAAGAAGAAATTGTTAAAAAAAAAAAAAAAGAACCAGAACTTGAGGATTTGGAAAATTTTCAGTCTTTCTATATTTTTTAATTTACTTTTTAAATACACAACAATAGTGGAATGCATTACACTCATAATTACCCATATATATTAGAGAGAGAGAGAGAGAGCTTGTTTTGATGAGAATACTAAGGATATTTAAACAATGCTGAACAACAATTTGATAAACATTTTATGAGATTATATGAGCAGAAACACTATCAGTTTGAACTGAAGGAGACAGAAACAGGATGAAATTAAGGAAGACTATATTATAATTATTATATTATATATTATAATTATATTATAATTCTTGGATTGGACAGTGTAGGAAAAGATAGCTATTAGGCTATGACAATGCACTATTCTTCAAGAACAGAGGAAAATGAACTCATTTGGGACTTCCATAACAAAATACCACAGACCCAGATGGCTGAAATCATAGAAATTTATTTTCTTACAGTTCTAGAAGGCAACAAGCCCATATCCGTAAACACAGTTATTTTTAAAGTCTGTGTCTAATGATTCCGATATTTTAGATCCTTATAGATTTGTTTCTATCATCTGTTATTTCTGTTGCCATGTCTTAAAGCTTACTTTTTTTTTTAAAGAGAGAGTGAGAGAGGAGAGAGAGAGAGAATTTTTAATATTTATTTTTTAGTTCTCGGCAGACACAACATCTTTGTTGGTATGTGGTGCTGAGGATCGAACCCGGGCCGCACGCATGCCAGGCGAGCACGCTACCGCTTGAGCCACATCCCCAGCCCAAAGCTTTCTTTTAAGGTATATATTTAAATCAGTGATTCATGCCTACTTCCCTTTTCCCTGTGTATTACTAAATAACCTCACAACTACCCTTCTTCCCTCTGCAAGACGATAGAGAGGAATATATACTTCTAAGGTATCTCAGCTTCATGTTCTAATCATTTGATTTATTGGTTGATCATCTTTTCTGAGCGTTTGTAGTTAACCTGGAAGTGTATGATTCTGAGATCATCAAACCATTACTTCAGTTTCAACAGTCCAGAGAGCCTCCAATCAGCGCCTTAGAGGTGGGACCTGCTAGTAGACCCTGGCTCAGAGAGCCACAGAGTGGGACCTTAGTCCAGAGGAGCTACTGGGCAGGATCCACACACACAGCCATGAACTGATATGTTACAGGACCCCCACAGAGAGTCAAAGGGCAAAGGCCACCCCACAAAGCCATTGGGACTATGGCTGTAGAAGACAGGGTATTGAAAATCAGGATCAGGTCCTTGTGTGACAGTCAAGCCAAAGTGACTCCATTTTATTTTGTAACTCCATTTTTTAAAACAACCATGCCAAGTAGAAGGATCATGACTGGGGCAAGTTGTTCTTTTCCTTTTGCTATAGAAACCCTTAAGAATATGGAACCTCCTAACAGGGCATGGTTTCTGTAACTAGGGTAACAGGGTTCTGTTTCAGTAACTGGGGTAATTGGGCTAATTGTGATTGGCTAAGCATTTGGCCCCCTTACTGCACTGTCCTACTTCTGTAACCTGGCTTGCTTGCGTTGGCTGGACCCCCAAATGTCCCTTTTGTGGTTTTCAGGCTTATAAGGAGCGCCCTTGCAATTCTTTGGGACTGATCTGGGGAACATCTTTACGTTCTGGTCAGTCACCACCGGTGTACTTCAATAAAGGCTTCATTCAATTATACGTGAGTGGTCTGGAAGTCAGTTTATGAAACCCCGGGATGCTGCTTTAACTATAACACTTGTTCCCCTGATGTTTAAAATTAAACACCCAAGAAACACTGAGGCAAGAGCAAAAAGTAAATTTATTTAAAAGGCAGAACAGAGAGACTATAATGCCAGATTTGTGGGACCCCAATAGACCTCCAGGAGCAAATCCGATGCAATCACACAAGAGTCTTTATTGCAAGCTCGAGCCTAGACTCACAACCGTTTTCGATGAAGGGGTCCCAAGGAGTAAGTCCTGACCCTTAGTTCAATGAGGATTTATAGGTTTTGGGGGATAGGCTATGCGTCACAACATCACACACTAAATCATTCCACACTGTGGAAAAATCAATTCACACATTCACTGGCGGGAACAAGTTGGGTAAGGATGATTGGTGAGTTCACGTGGTGGCTACATTTGAACTGATTGGTTTAGGCCGCGAGGGGTTGCAAGAGTGTATATGCTAAACTACAGGGTGGCCTAATCATGTTATCAATCACTGAAACTACTGGGAGGGTCACCTGGCATTTCAGATATGGTCCCTGTCTCACTCTGATTGGTGGTTGCTAGGAGGTTGCTATGGGTCCTCACCTAGCCTAACTGAGTCAGGGACACCAGGCGCCTGAGATCTCTCCTGTTATTTACAAAAATTCTGGAGGGTGAGTATGTGCCTAGGAGAGTTCTGTGGGTTTTTCCAAGGACAAGGTCACACCCACTCCCTCTAGACAGGCCTTGAGGTAGTAACTGGTTTTTCAAAAAATGGAGTCACATCAGTTTCTCAAGACTTCTCTGGAGAGGATAGGGTTCAGTGCTGGTGCCTAAGGGAGTGTGGCGGTATCTTGCCCCTTTATAGATTTCGGGTTTCCTTTCATCTCATCCTGCTTCTCTTATCTGCCTACATGGCCAAAAGGTGGGAATAACCAAAGGCAGGAAAGGAGCCACCCAGGAAGTGCTCATTAACAACTCCTTGCTGGAAGGAAAAATTCCCTGGAGATAAGTTACCTAGGCAACAGGTTTTGAGGGGAAACGTGTTCTGGAGGTTGTAACATTTTATTTCCTTTGAATTAGTCCCCATCTTCCTGGCCCAATCATCCATTATCTACAACTGTCCTTTGCCCCAGTCTCAGCAAGATGTGATTTCCAAAGGACTTGGGAAGCCATGCCAGTTGCAGTACACATGGGCTATCTTTTAGCCTGTCTGTGCCGCTGGGAGCTTTTCTGTGCAGACAGTCAAAATGACTGTCTTCGCTGAATTCTTAGGGTCTCCATTCTAGCTCCTGCTTCACTTTCCATTCTGGCTTCAGCTTCACCTCCATAGCTTCAGACATTACTCTCTACATTACATGTCTCAAGGGCAACCTTCAGGGATTCCAATCCTGCTGTACTTTGCTTGGCCTCCCAGTCCTTCCTTTGAAATTTTGATGGAAGCCTCCATCTTCTCTTAATTCCAGCATCCTGCAGAACTACAAGGAATACACCAAGATCTTCTGCCAGCTCCTGTACCTGAGCCTCCAAGGTCACAGCAGCAGTGACCTCTGAGTGCCTGGGTTGAGAGACTGAGCAAGTGAAACAACTTTTCAGTGCAAACAGGGTGCCCTCGTGATTTTTTCTCAAAGGAATTTACCCTGGACATCCTTGAGCCTGCAGTGG